GGTTTCCCTGCTGTCGGTCTTGTACGTTTCGCGTCCTGTTTTGTTGCGCTAGAATCGGAGCACATATTTTTGATTTATGATGTAGCGGACTGACTCCTGGCTAAGCAATGCCCTGATAATGCCTCACAGGCTCACTGCGCCGCGCTAATGAAGATATCTGTCTCACGCCTCCAGTGTGTATTTTGGCACGTGTCACGCGGCGCGCGGCCTCACTGACGGTCGCCGATCGAGCTCGCGCTGGCGTCAGCCGCACGGAGAGATTATTTGTAGTCTGCAGTGGGCACCGCCGGCAATGGACGGGGTCGGTCAGAGTGGAAAACCTGCCGCCGCCCGCTGGGAAACCCATTATTTACCCGAATGGTGCCTTTGAAAACGCTGGTCTCATTTTCGAAAGGCCCGATTACGCTGCCTCGGCCGGGAAATTTTGAAGATCTCTGATGCCGACTTAGACTCACGACGAAGCGATGTTATTGGACGGTATATTTTTAACTAGACTACGATCAAAGTGGCGATTTGCCTGCGTCACGTAGGCATTGAATCACCTCCCGAAGTGTGGGTTCTGGATTTGTGTGAATGTCTGTGGCGCATGTTGTGTGCTCTAGTTGGCCAGAATCTCGTGGTTTGTGAGCTCGGCGTCGTATGGGTGCCGTCACGAACTCGGCTGACGTGACTGCTAAGTAGAACCGCCGGTGTCATGCCAGGTATACGGCACGGTAGGCTCCAAGCACGGTGGAATCGGCACCCGCGCTGTCCCTATTTACGACCATCGTCCCACTGGGTATGCCCCTGCCCGATCGCACCCCATCAGTGCGTTCCCGTGGCGTCCAATGGTGTGATCTTTCCTCGGCGAACGGCGTACGCGTGTCGCCCTCTGGCTCCGGCCGGTAAACGGTCCAACACGGTTCCGTGCTATATCACTCGTCGCGTCAGGTACGGCGCAGTGTGGACGAGCCTGCAGAATACTTTTGTCAGCCCCGTTTCTTTTCTGCAGAGTTCAAAGCACCTAGTGGAAAATCTAAACAGTTGGGGTCGGGTTCGCCGGATTTTCAGGATTCGCGCGAATTCCGCATGTCGTAGCTTCACACCTTCTGGGTTTCTTAAACACAGCGGTAACGGACATCGGTTTTCCACTCTCATTCTGCTAACCGTCGGTGATCCGTCCGCGTTGCCCAGACCCGGCTCTGTTCTGGCCGCAACTGTTCCACGTTCCTCACCCGGTGCCCGCGCTGACCTTCCGTGGGCCAGTGACGGCCCTCAGCGCCACCGCCGCCCATCCGTCTCCACTGTCGTCTTATCTGCCGATCGGCCGTGTAGTTCCGCGTGGCGCGCGGGCCGCAGTGTCCCCCGGCACACACGTGCCCGCTGTGACCCTCCGCGGCGGTATATGCTCTGAACGATACGCCGGCTGCTGACAGCCGTCCACCGGCGGTTGATCGCTCCCCGGCGGCCGTACAGACGTCAGACGTGCCTTGCATCAGCCCAACGTAAGAGCCTGTGCAAAGAGTTCTCTATGATCCGCCCGCCCCTGATTGAGCCCCCTAACACGGCGGGGGTAGCTATCAGGGCCAGGCTCTTTTATTTCGTTATTTCTTTTTGGGTACACCGGCCGGTGCAGGTGGAGCGCCCGTTCGGGCCCTGGCTGGCTAAAGGTCCGGCTAAATGTCACGCCAGCGGCGGTGGCGACAGAGTGAGGCCGGTGGCGGAGCGGCGCCGGTGGCCCGGTAGTCTCGGCCTGGGCGGTTTTCCCCACTACGGCCGGCCTGCCTCAATACTCGGCGCCGACCGCGCTCCGTCGCTGGCTCCGACCGAACGCGGCGGACCGGCTGTCGCGCCAACCGCCGCCGCCCCCGCTCCGGGCGAGGGGCGTGTGACCTGACCTCGAGGTCACCGCCGTCGCGCGGGTCATCTGCCAGCCATGCGGGTATGAATAATAAGTTACCTTCCTAGCAGCGGTCTCATACAAACATCATAGATATTTTGTGTCACGACGAACGTTCACGAACTGCCCTGGAACACTTCCCGTGTTTCCGTGCAGACTGGTGCTGATTTTTGCACGAGCGCGGCGCTGACGCGCAGCAGTGGCGTCTCTCGTCCGGGTCATGCGCCCGGCGCCGGGCAGAGGACGCAGGCTGCTGACATGCATCCTCGGTCGCCCGCGGAAGTGAGCACAGCAGCGTCCGCTGATGTGGTCTTCGTATCGCGCCGACTTCCTGAACTGCTTACGCTGTCTGTCGGCCGCAGACTGCGCCCTTCCTGGCAACTGACATCTGCGCAACCGACCACCATGCGCGCTTTGCCGTCTCAATGGCGGGAGCATACGACCGTGCTTTCATTGAGAATGTGGGATGCTGGAGTATGAAGGATATGCCTGTACGAACTAGCGCGTTTAGAAAGGCCTGGCGCATACTTTCTAACTAGTTTCTTTCACATTTAGTTGGAACATTGAACTCAGGCATCTGGGATAATGTTCCGCTTGTAAGTGCTTCTCTGAAAATTGTGGTGTGGAATTATGTAATCACGCAGCAATTGACCTGCGGGCTGTGGCATTGCACTTTCTCGCTGCTCCTTTCAGTTAATGAATGAATGCTGGCAGACGAGGAATCTGACATCTTTAAGTTCATTCTCAAACATGAAATTGTGTGGACGCATCGATTCCGTATTCCATTTAATTGCCTGCTCAGGGAAGTATTCAGATATCTCCCTTCAACTCCAGTTTGGATCCTGTCCCAACAATTAGAAGCACCGGTTATTGCATGGCAGCACCGGCCCACTTCAGCTGCACACCCCTCCTCTCAACGGCGTGCGACCGACTGCCCGCCGTCGGCCTCAACGAGCCGCGTCTCGGCCGTCAGCCGTTAGTTCGTCTTATCTCCGCTAGGGTGGCGCTAGCGTCGCCGCACCTTGGTGCGGACGCCGAGCGCGGCGGACGCCAGTTGAGCGCGGTCGGTGCTACGGTAGGCGTCGTGGCGAGCCAGGACCGCGTTCAGTGACCGGCACCATGGGCGCCATGTCCTACACTAGCGTCCCGACCCGACACATTGGCCGATACGAGAAGCTGCCCCGATCCAGCGGGCGCGCGCAGCGCAAGCATCCGGTGCACGCGGAGGCACCCCGTGCCGTGCGCCGCGCCAGGCCCAGGAGAGGGAAGCGCGACGGAAAGGGTACGTTCTCGCCTGATCAGGCTGCTGTTGGTGTGGGTCCCGCTTGTAAACAGTGACTGTTGTGTTCATTCCTGTATCAGCCTTTTGTGTGGTGTGCTTGCTGGTAGTTAACTCTTGATTCTGGTCACTTGGTAACTGATTCTCTCCCCTGGCGCGGCCGGTGTTCCCTTGTGTTAGCGGTGTCGGCACTGCCCTTTGCCGACTGTCAGCTGTAGCGCGCTGTGCAGTGGACGGACTCTGTGCCCGTGACTGTCACACCAGCCCCGCTGTACCCGTCTGTCCGCTGTAGTCAGTCAGCCGTGGCACTACCTGTCTCCAGTCGAGCGCGGTGATCGGCTTCTCGCGGTGTGTGAGCAAGTAACCAAGTGAGGTAGAGGACGGGAGCTCGATTCTCCCGGCAGAGTGGGCGGGGCGGCGGTGGCAGGTGACGCGGTACCTGGGAGGCTCTCTCTCTCTCTCTGCCTGTCGCCTCCATCACTGCCCCGACCAGCTGCTGTATTCCGGTGGCAGATACCGCCGGCCGGCCGGCGCTGTTGACTTACAGCCCACAGCCGCGCCGGCAGACCGATACCGCCCCGTGCGGTCCGGTCGCGCGATAATATGGTCTTTAAATATCGACACAGTGCCGCGGCCGAGTTAGCTCTGGCTCCGGCTGTCGCCTCGGAACGTGCCAGCCTCAGCCAAGTGGAGCGGCCGTTCAGAGCTGCCCGGAGACAACTTTGAGCTCATTGTTTGGTTCTCCTGAGTGCGTCAGCCGGCGTTCTAAATCGGTGCCGGCCGCGCCCCGTTCGCCTTTGAGGCGGCGGTGGTGCCGGGTGGGCCGTGTGTCAGCGCCGCTCCGTTTAGGAGTGGCGGCCGAGCTGCGTGGGCCGACCGGCGATATTTTGGGCCGTCCTGGCCGCCTGCCACCGGGGCCGGGCTGGGCTGACGGCGGCGCCGGGGGTCGGGAGAGCGGCCAGCTCTCCCGCCGGCAACAGCCCCCAGGCGAGCTCGATGACGTACAGTCCCGAACGGCTCGACCGGAAAACGGTCGGCGGTGGCGGCCGGGCCGTGTAGCCAGGATGTGTCGGACCGGCTAAAAATCGTGGAAAGTACCCAGGCTGGACACCGGTGTACTACACGGGAATTGTTTAGGCGGTGACAAGTATGTCGTTGTTTATCCTCGGCGGGATTGCACCTGGCGGCGCACCTGTGGTCGCGAGCTGTTTCAGCGGCGCTGGCCCGGCTCCGGCTCCGAACTCCGGCACTGGAGGCTCACCAAACCAGCTCCGGAGGTCACACACAAAAACCGACAGCCTGTTTATTTCACGTGTCTCGGATATGCCGTCATTGAGCGCGTCTGCCGCTGTGTCCGCCAAGGACAGCGCCGGGGCCGGTAGCTGGCGGTCCGAGTGGCGCCCGCCAGGCGGCAGCAGGTGCCGGTCGTGGGTACCGGCCGAGCGGCGCCAGCCTTTTACGGAGACGCCGCGCCGTCAGGTGCGCCAATTGGCTCCGGCGGCCCTCCTAATGGGTCCATGGTGACGCAACGGACGTCATGCAGCGCCGCTGGGCTCCGTAATGTTGACCCTGGATGGACTGACGTCAACCGGCTGCAGCCATTTGCAGCAGCGGCGGGGGACAGCAGGTTAGAACGGATGCCGCCGCGGCACGCCAGTCGATTCCTGAGAAAGGGGAGCCCGGCCCCTAGTAACCAGCAGGTTTTGCACGCGGTCTGGGTGACGCTGCACCTCCCCATGTGACTGTGTGTTGTGTCTGTCCCTTAGTGTATGCGTATCTCACATCTCCCGTGGTTGACCGTTTTCCCACCTCTGACCATCCGTTCTCTCCTATCTGTTGCAGTTCAGGAGATGGTGCACTCGAGCCGTGACTGCTCGACACGCACCGCGGACGAGATGACGTTCGCCTCCTTCTGCCTCTTCGTCAACAACCTCAAAAAGTAAGTGTCCGCTCCACCAGCGAGCGGGGAGGGCGGGCCGAGTCCAGAGGACGCCTTATCGCGTCTCTGCGACTTCAGGCGGGTGTGTCGGAGCAGTTGCCATGCCACTATCGGTCGCGGCGATACCACAAAACGGCACTGTTTTTGTCAGAAGGCGAGCTTCTGTTGGCGGCGATACGGAATCTGAGCTGCCTCGTGAAACGCTCGCCGCGAAAGCTCCTAAAAGCCGTCTCACGCGACGGCTGGTGTCGTGTCACCGCGCCGTCCTTGGCGCTGGCTGGAGGACGGTCGCGCTGTAGGCCGCTCTGAGGCCAGCTGCGCGCGAGCTTTCACCGAGTAATGACCGGGTCACGCGCGCAGGACAGCTCATGGTCCGTCCGAGTCACGGCAGCCCGGCTTAGGGCGATAATCTGCCGGCCGTCGGCGGACAGCTCGTTATCACGCCCCGTTCCCGTAAGGCCTGGGAGAGAGGAGCTCAGGGACAAAGGCCATAAAACTCCGACAACTGTCACATCTTTTTGGAGTGCAAAACGGTCCTCGTGCAAAGGACATTTTTGGGTGTTTTCGCATGCAGTTTGCGCTAGCTGGATGTTCCGCTAATTGGAAAGCCCTCGACCGGTGGTTCCTCGTGCCCAAATTCGGCGGATACACACTTTTGGTTCCCAGCTGAGCGTTATCGCGCTTAACCGTGCTGTGACCTAAGTCGCGGTACCAAAAAACCAGCTTCAGCCGCCAGGCTGTGATAGCGATGGCGCCGTGGGTTCGGCTGAAAGACCCCGGACGGTCGAGCCTCCTTCGGGACTCGGCAAAGCCCTCAGAGGCGCCGGGGCCGACTGGGCGCAGCTGTGACGACAGACAGCCACACAGGTGTGCGCCGACGGGTCACATGTTATCGTACTGCCGTGGTGATACGCAGTGACCCACTCTAACGCGCGCCGGAGCTGGGTGGAGCTCGTCGGAGCAGCTCGGGGCCAACGTCTGAGGGTGGAGTGTGCCGCCACAATCGCGACAGCTTACGTAAATGAGAGCGATGAACGGGCAGAGGCCGCCATTTCGCCGATAGGCCAGGATGTGGCCACTCGCCGCTTCCGTCGCCATATGACGGGATATGTGCGGTGGCGTGCGCTGGACGACAGCTGAGAGTCGCAGACAACGAACCAGTTAAAGCCGCCTACCACCGATCGACGCCTGAGTCTCGATCGGTTCAGGGATGGGTAACTTAAACAGCTGGGTGTTAACCGATCTAGATGCTCGCTGCATAGCTTGACTGGCAATGTGACAGCTGAAGGAAAAGCCCGTGGAGCCGACAGCTGCTCTTGACCAACACACATGCACGTTGTCTCACACTGGGGAATGCCGGCAAAGCGTGGGATGCGCCGGAGGTGGCTTCCGCCCTCTCATGGCTGGCTTTCCGGGCCCCAGGGGCGACTGGAAGACACGTCTGCACCCTGGAAGCCCAGACGGGTGCTGATGATTCCCAGGGATCCCTTCCGGCTCACTCCCACTCAGACCGACTCAGTTCGGTTCCTTTTGGCGCCCGGAGAGTGTCGGACGTCATGTTTTCTCCGTTCAGCAGCTTTTTCTGGCCGCCGGCAGCCGTGTTGGGTGCGGCGGTATGGACAGCTGCTACACCACTCAATAAATAGACGGACAATTGTACCGGCGGTTTGCCAGGATTATGGCTCACCGGTTGTAACTCAGTGACCACGGTGAGTCACACCTGTTGATTATAAACAGGCGGCATATGATCCCTCGTCACATCCCGGTGTCGGCGGCCGTCATAGGCTCGGACTGTGATGACGGCGCACTGCCGGGTATACTGGTGTCTAGAGAACTCTCCGGCTCTCCTGAATCACCGTCCGACGGCAGCAGATGGGATGAGTTGAAAGGCGCTGGCGGGATGCCTCAGAGGCTGCCCCGCCCGGTGTCTGTTCTCTGAGAGGCCGGCTGGACTGGCCTACCGTAACGCGCTGTTTGCGTTGGCCGGCGATCAGACGGCGGCGCTGCCCCCAGGCCCATGTCGTCCCCTATCTCCGCGTGTGTCCACTAACACGAATGACGTCACGCATGTGGGTGGAGCTATGGGCGGAGCCTAACGCACGCGGCAGTCGAAGCCGCCATATTTGAATTTATATTTTAATAGAATCTTGCCGATATTTTGGGTGAAGTCAATTTATATGGATAGCTTGGTGACAGTTTAGTTATACGAATAATAATTTATTATGGATGTGCGTATGTTCAGCTTGGAATTGCAATTAAAGTTCCGCACCGCATAGATTCGAACTCGGGACCTTTGGAATACTGCGCGGGCACGCTAACCACTACACTACCGCGAGCGCGCGGCGGCCGGCGGCAGGGAGGCTGCGGAGACATGGGGGGACATTTTACGCTTTTGTGAAAAAAAGCAAAAGATATAGCGAAAAACACGTAATAGATAACTTGCAGAAAATTGTCTGCTCTTTCAGATAAGATACTTAGGTTTGATATATCTTGTGCAGACTTCATTCTACAGTGCTTCGAAAATCGCTCATTTACATGGGGATTGAACGGGGCTTCGAGACTTGACTCCAAATGACGTCACGAGCTGACGTCACGAAAAGGTAGAATCGCCGGACGACCCTACCTGGTATATAGGGCCTTGGCTGCCCCGTACTCCGCGGTCCGTGGTCTCTGGTCCGCGGTGGTCCGTGGTCCGCAGAGGGGCAGTGTCCGCTGCCAGGGCCGCTGATGTCACAGTCGCCACCTTCCGCCTCCGGCCGCGCTGTCCTTGGTCCGCGGTCGAGCACACACCGCAGCTACCGTCCGATCATAGCGAGGTACTCGTCTCCACATGGCCAAAGCAGTGCGGGCGCTCGCCGCGAGCTGGCCCGGGGATCCCCAGTGCATAGCGCCACCAAAGTTTGTTTAGTCGACACTTTCCCTGCATAAACACACGCCCCGTGTCAACTGATACTGTCCGCGCCCTCTGAATGCCGTCTAACATTCTCCCTCTGGCGTCTCTCGCAGGAAGGTGCCGCCGCCTCCAGTCATCTCGTGTCAGCAGGAGCGGCCGCCGGCGCGGCTCTGCAAGTCGGCGCCGCCCATCGGCTGCGGCAAGTACGAGGTGTTCCTGGGCGGATCGTGCAACCCCACCACGTGGCGACGCGACGAGGCCATCCCGCGGCTCAAGGAGCTCGGCATCACCTACTACAACCCGGTACGTGACGGTGTGGTCGTCTGGGTGGGTGAGCACTTCCGCGGTACGGCCCTGGGTTGGAGAGGCTAGTGGGGTCTCTCACAGCCAAGGTCCCGGGTCGGCACGGTTCGGAAGCGCCGCTTCCGAACGATGTACCGGGGCGGGCTGTGGTCAGGGTAGCAGCGGCGGTCTGAAGGCCGCCGGGCGCCGCAGGGGCCGGTGTGTTGTGTATCTCGTTCATCTCTGCCGTCCGACGGCGGCGGGCGGGGGGCCAGCGGTATGCGGCGGCGCAGCGACGCGCGCAGTCGGCGCACTCTGCCAAACGACACGAATAGCTCCCGGCGCGCCTGACACCCTATTTACGCGACGTCAGCGACGCACATCGGCCCCGACGGATGATGTCAACCCCCCCCCCCCGCCCGTCGATCTGCACCCCTCCCCGTCACTGACCGTGCTTTCTGTTCTTCCACAGCAAGTGGCGTCCTGGCACCCTGGCCTGATCGCTCTCGAGGAAGAGGCCAAGCAGAGTGCCACCGTGCTGTTTTTCGTCATCGACAACCAGACGCGCGGCGTGTCCTCCATGCTGGAGGCTTCCTACCTGGCGGCCAGCGGCAGGAAACTAGTGTTGGTGGTCAGCAGGCATGCCAGCAGCGCCACCATCTGCGGAGAGAAAATCACAAACACGTGAGTGAAGCTCTCTGTCTGCCTAGAGCGGGGAAGGGAAGGTGAGGGTGAGGGGTCTGACCCAGAGGTCGGTCGACCGGTGATGTCATGGTCACTATCGGCCGCCAGGTGAGCCTAAAACAGAGCCGTATCGCAGCCGATCGCCCCTCGCTCCCTCCCCTCTCCTCTCGGCGGTGATTAGGGTCGACAAGGCGGCCCTCAAACGCCCACGACGCACTACTCTTCAGAGCTATCTTACGGCGGTGTTGACTGCCGTAGTCGAGTTCACGAAAATCTATATTGGTCCGGGTGGCTAGGGCCCTCACTGTGCTACTGTTGGGTGTTATTTTCGTATCGGACGATTTCGGTACAGGTCTTATCGCGCCCGCGTTCGCTGGCACTGTCGCTGTTTATGTCCGCATGCGCTCTGACACTGTATCTCCTCCTTCGGCAGTGAATATTGCGACCTGAACCGAACACAGAACTACCTCCAGGACCTGGTCGAGCGACAGGGCCTCCCCGTGTTCGAGACCATCTCGTCAGCCCTCGACTGCACGGACAAGGTACGCACTGGTGGACACGCGTGCGAGATGCTACCGTGTGGTGGGGTGTCTTCTGAGGCGAATGGCCGTTCCAGCGTGCCGCTTTGGCGCCGGGCCTGAGTGGTCCCTCAGAGACCTGCCGTCTGTAGTGAGCCTGAGGCAGCCGGCGGCAGGTGTGGCGTCATTGTTTAATCAGGTGCGCGGATACCGCGCCGCGCACACACACTCACACAAGGCCGGTGCGGGACGCGATAGCGGGGGCGGGGGGACGGCCGCGCGGCAGGTGGTCCGACCCGAGGGCACCTTATCGGCCGGACTGTCCGCTGCGCTCCGCTCTGATCCGCCGCACCACTGATCCGCCCTGATCCCGCCGTACTACGGGCCACTCTCAGCGGGTGCCAAGGCTGCCGGCGCTGACCGTGCGACCTTCTCCCGCCCGGCAGGTGCTCAAGAAAGACATCCGGGTACAGGACCTGCGGCTGGACGACAATGCCGTGCCCGTCCGGAACGCCCACATCACGCTGGCCGACAAGCTACAGTGAGTAGGGTGGTCGCCGGTCACGCGACTTAGCCAGGGATCAGGGAGCCACTGGTTGCGTCAGGGGTGCTCATAGCCTGGCCTTGGCATTTAACATAAGTAGTCACAGCCAATCTTTTGTTATTGTAGTTATTTGGCAGCGGTCAGGTGGTTGTTTCAATCTTAGCGATCGGATGTTTTCGATTTACAATAACACCAAAGTCAACATTTGTGCGTTTTGTGTTCTAGATTCCAATGTTTACATTGGCGCATCTTGGCGCTCCACCCGCATGTGCCTAATGTCAGTCTTCCTGTCTCCCGCAGCAAACTGCGTGAGGTGTTCGCGAACCAGGACTCGGAGGGTCGCGGCAGCCTCAGCCCGGCTGAGGTGTGCACGGCGCTGCGGGTCTGCACGGGCCGCACCATCTACCCCAACGACTGCCTGGCGCTGATGGCGCAGATCCGGGAAGTGACCGAGCAGACGGCCGGCGGCTCGCCCGACGGCCGGCTCTCGTTCGAGGACTTCTGCCTGCTGGTGACGGAGCTGCAGGGCAGCGGCCGGCGGGGCGGCCGCGGCGGTCGGCAGAGTCCCTCCGTGCTCTCCCGGACGGCCGAGATGATGCACCAGCTGCTGACGCCGCTGACGCGGGTGGCCGAGTGGGTGCTGCCCCAGCGGCTGGCGCGCCAGCTCAGCAACGGCTCGGCGCCGACCTCCGACGTGCGAGACGTCTACCTGGGCGGCACGCTGACCAATACCAGCTGGAGAGAGAACATCGCCATCCCCATCCTCAAGTGAGTAGCGCGATCTCTCCCCCGCCGCGGCTCAGAGTCATGGATTTACGAGAGCTGACGTGGTCGACCTCGACTTAATGGATGGAGCTGTTGCTACGCTATGTATCTCTGTCAATGTCCGGCTGCTACTTATAGAGCCAGATTTGTAACTCCCGTTATTCAGGGACGAGTTTAGAACCGATCCGCCTACTAGCCCAGAATGTCACCATGCATGGTCCTGTCTGTGCGTGCCCGTGCTGACCGACGCCTCCTCTCCTCTCAGGAAGTCGGCGCTGACGTTCGAGCACCCCGCCACTCTGCTGGCCACCGAGCGGCTGACGCCCACGGAGGCGGCGCGGCTCGAGCGGTGCCGGACGCTGCTGTTCGTCATCACCGACACCTCTCGGGCGCCAGCGCACATGACCATGGCGGCGCACTACATCGGCCGCGGCGCCTCGGTCGTGCTCTGTATCCAGATGCTGCCCGACAACTGTGTCATCCAAGGCGAAAAGGTGAGCGTGCTACCGCTGTCGTGGCGGGGACTGGGGGTGGGGGTTTGGAGTGGGGGTAGGACCGGTCCGTCGCGGACGGGCTCGGCGGCGCGTGGGCGGCCGCTCTAGCCGTGTTAGGAGCGTGCCGCCACTGTGATTTAGAGACGGACCTAGCGTGACGTCGGCCCGACTGACTATGGACGTCTATGGAGTCGAGCGGGCCGCCTGTTGATGTCACTGTGGAAAGCTGCTAGGCCGGTCTGAGCGCGATCGCGGCTGGATTGGACTGTGTGCCGCGCGGTGCCGGGTCGGTGACAGTGTCTGACCGGCGTCTCCTCTGTCCCCAGCTGTCGCCGACTGCCATCAAGGACTACAACCGCGGCCGCTCGTACCTCTCCGATCTGGCCAGCCGCAAGGGCGTGCCCGTGTTCGAGACGGTCGCCGAGGCGGTGCAGAAGGCCGCGCAGCTCTCGCGGAGGGCGCGATAGGGCCGCCCGCGCGGCCGGCACCAGTACAAACGGCCGTCCGGCCGGCCCGGGGCAGCTAGCACCTTCACCTACCTCGCTCGCCGGCTTACCCACCGTCACTGAGCGTCGCCATCGGCAGCGGCTCCTTTTAACTCCTCCCCCGGTGGGCTCCTCCTCCCTCGGTATGTGTAATTTATTGTTCGGTGTGGTGTGGTCGTCCCCTGTGGCGGGCGGGCGGGCGGTTTTATTTATACAAAGTGCACCGTGCGCCTTTTAAAAGTAACTTGTAGCGGGTGCGGTCGTGTCGAGTCGGCGTGTCTGCGCCGACTGGCCGGCCGCGCCACGCACCCATGTCGGAGACACCGCCCCCACTGCAGTTACAAAGCGAGCGAGCGAGAGCGCGTCAGTGTGTGAGCGAGAGAGTAGCGGGTTACTCAGCGTTATAGCATCAGTTCGCCGCGGTCTTCATGACAAATTCACATCATTCCGTCCACAACACGTTTGTCAGGCAGGACCAATTCATTCATCTTTAGTTTTACCATCAGTTGTTACATGGTGTGTGTGGCGCGGTGTGGCGCCTTCCTCTTGTGTTGTGTTGTGGGCGCGACGCCGGGCTGGCTCCCCGGGTGCGCCGCCGCCGCCACAGTATGCTCACTGGGCAATGGAACACTGTTTTAACAAAGTAATGTTATCCATTTTAAGTGAGCTATTTGTAGATGTTAGTAACCGAATAAACCAATGGATGATTTCATCATGGTGTGTCGTTGGTCGACGGAAGAGAGTGATGAGCGTCACTGGAGGGCGGCCAGCGGTCGCTGCCGGGTCAGGCCGCCGGGCGCGTGACCTGCCGCCCCCGCCCCCGCCCGGCGGAGCTGGCGGCTCGCCCAGACGCCGCTCATACCGGCCCAGAGTACACCGACACGGGTCAGACTGACGGAGCGAGGCGGCAGTCCGCCCAGCGAACAACACAGCAACCAGTTGTGGCCTGGTTGAAACCGCCCGGCGGGTGGCATGGTTTCGTGATGGCACGCCAAGATCATATAACGTCTGGGACAGGTCATTTGCAATCCAACTTGGCGAAGCGACACATTTCCAGACGCCAGCCGGAGCCAGCCGGCCGCACCCCTGGTCACGGGCGTTTGCCGGTGGGGGGTCGCGACCCAACGGAGATCACTCGCGCCGCGGCCGGCGACGCCATTCATTTTCATTCATTCTGTACCACAGCGGATGGTGCCTGTTTACGGCAGTTTGGCAGGCTCCGCAGAGCGCCGGCGCCCCGTGGCGTCCGGAGCCCTACCAGGGGGCGCCGGCCGCGCCCGACCATGACCCCTGCGCAGACTCGGGAGTGCTGCGGCGCTCGGAAGCGGCTGTTTAACTTGGCCGGCCGGCTGGCCGCCGCTCCAGCCCTGCTGCCGACCTTGTGGCGCGCTGGTCAGACCTGGCTATCGGAGTCGATATCCGCGAATAGTCAGCTGCTCCATCCCCCGCGCGGCCCCGACAAACAGCTGGACGCTTGGGATGCGACAGACCGTGAGCGTATACAGACACCGATACACTGGAGGCTGGAATGCAGTTGGCGCGCTGGACCGTGTAACTTATCGCACCACTGGGAGCCAGTCACGTGGCAGCGCGCCGATCAACACACGAGTAACGAGCACAGCCCATCGTAGCCTTCCGACGATCGGCCGACGAATTCCGCCAATGAGCTCGGGCCGATCGTAGTGGAGGATCACCCCGATCGTCTGCCAAACTACACAGAGCTAGAGAGGGTCAGCGCGGCACCGAACCCTTGCGGGTGGCAGGGTCGCTGGGGTCACTGACTGACCCCGGCGGCTCGTCAGTGACCTCTCACGGTCACCGTCCGCCGTGCCATCGCTCGGCACCAGTATAAACGTTTAAACGTTTTATCGGCGCGTCCCACCGGCTGGACGACCAGTGACGGGCAGCGGCGGCGGACTGCAGCCGTATATGGCACCTGAAGACTAGTTCCATCGCACGGCACACGTGATATCTTGATTGACGTAGCCGCGTATACGGGTGCAGCCCACAGAAAAACGCCGGCTGTGTTTTAGCACGCCCGATACAGGACGGGCAATGGCCTTGATCGACTGATAGGTAGCGCTGGCATTACCGGACCGGCCCCGGTTCGGACAGTATATCCAACATCGCACCGCGTGGGGACAGGGAATACCACGCGAGCTGCGCGCCTACAACAATATGCACCAGCTGATACACGGTCGACAAAATGTATTTCACTTGGGCGATATACAGATAGCATTGTTTTATGTCGAAAGTCGCACCTATAGTGATTTCTTCTTGAATCGGTCGAGCACAGCCTTTTTGGTCGCGGTCGCCGCCTTGGCAGGGCCCTTCTCGGCCTCGATAAGGGCCTTGGACGCCTTCTTCGCCTCCTTGATGTATTTCTGAAAACAAACATCAGAGGGTCAGTATATGGTACAGACAACACCGAGCAGTGCATAACTTCACTAACGTTATCAATCAACAGCGGATGCTCTAAAATGACAGCATCGCATATCCTTACAAGCAATAAGAAATGTTTCTTAATGTGCACTTAATCAATAACATTCATGAATATTGTGATAACCAGTCACATATTAGCATGACCCATTGGAGGCGCTAATTCTTCTTTGTGTAGCGGTCTCTCTTAATGGCTCTCTGATGAGTACTGGCATAAATATTAAGTGAGGCTCGCTGTCGCATTCCGGACCAAGAACAACTCTCAGCGTCGGACGATCCGTTCCAGATGCGTCCCGCACGTGTAAAAACACCACCAGCAAACACTGTCAGCGACAGGAGACAATAAACAATCGACCCCCCCCCCCTCTCCGCCCGGCCTCGCCCCGGAGCGTACCCGTTGTTCGAGGCCTCGAACACCCTTCTTGCGCGCGGCCATTTTGCCGTCTTTGCTGCGGCCCTTGGTCTTCTTCCTGGGAGTGTAGTCGATCTTGGGCGTTTTGACGAACTGCGTGGCAAAACAGACGTCAAGTCAGCGGAGTGCGCGGTATACAAACATTCCGGACGGGCAGTGAGGGTCGTCGGACCGACCGGCCAGCCGGCTGTCCAACTGGTCTAAACCAGACTGACAAACGCACAGACGGACGGACAGATGGATGGAAGGACAGGCGGGCTGAAGGACAGGTGGACAGCAGAGTGTCGTCAGCGGAAGTTCGCAGTTGATCACGCCTGCCACGCACGCACAATCTCGAACTCTCTGTGCGTACGCAGTTGGACACAAGGTGAAACCCTGCGTCCCTTGCTGCGATTCACACCTGGGATTGATCGGAGGACGAGATGGCTGGCGACGCACCTGGTGGTCGTCACCGGACGTCACGCCTGGACACATACGCACTGCCCCCTCCCCTCCCCCCCCACACACACAGACACACACACCACGCACAGACAAGACGGACGGGCTCACGTTGCGCCGAGGCCGCCCGGCCGGCCGGCCGGCGCGTCACCATACGAGGCCACCCGGGAGACACATCAAGGACAGGCGCGGAGCAAAACAGAGCGGAGACCGCCAGCGGACACACCAAGGGTAAAGCGAAGAGAGCCACATCAAACAGCAAAACAATGGAGATTTTAGTCTGAAACAGCATCGGAATTCTGCTAACATTTATTACCAACAAACGTAATGAGTCACGAAGCTCATACTAATTTGTGACGTGAATAAAAACATGGTAAATAAAAATCACATAAGGCACATCAGATGCGAAAAAAGTTGCAGCATCCTTTTTCGTCTTATATAAGATGCAGCAACCTCTCCGCTGCATCTCATCAGCAACCTCATAAACGCCGTCATAGTTATCTCCAGTTATAAACTTCCATGTTATTATGTAACGTGTAACTGCGTTGCAGCCGATCGCAGCGTAGGTGTTCTATTTTTGGGTGCGGTGTGGGGAGGGGGAGGTCGTCACTCACCAATAGTTTCTCCTTGGCCTGGACCTTCTCCTGCAGTGTGGCGGTGTCCACCTGTCCCAGGGCGACCGGGTCCAAAGTGATCAGCTCCGGCTGAATCTGCGAGTATAAGGGGAGAACGGGGGTGAGAAGGGTAGATGGAGGCAGTAAGGCTAGGATCAATAAGGTGAGAAGAGTGATGAGACAAAAGTAACGAGAGGAGATGTGAAAAGTGCGGTGACTGGATGAATGGGAGATGTGGCAGAGTACGCTGAGGATCAAATGTGAGATATGAAAAAGCTAAGAGAGGATGGAGAGAGAGAGAGAGAGAGAGAGAGAGAGAGAGAGAGAGAGAGAGAGAGAGAGAGAGAGAGAGAGAGAGAGAGAGAGAGAGAGATAGAGAGAGAGAGAGAGAGAGATAGAGAGAGAGAGAGAGAGAGAGAGAGAGAGAGAGAGAGAGAGAGAGAGAGAGAGAGAGAGAGAGAGAGAGAGAGAGAGAGAGAGAGAGAGAGAGAGAGAGAGAGAGAGAGAGAGAGAGAGAGAGAGAGAGAGAGAGAGAGAGAGAGAGAGAGAGAGAGAGAGAGAGAGAGAGAGAGAGAGAGAGAGAGAGAGAGAGAGAGAGAGAGAGAGAGAGAGAGAGAGAGAGAGAGAGAGAGAGAGAGAGAGAGAGAGAGAGAGAGAGAGAGAGAGAGAGAGAGAGAGAGAGAGAGAGAGAGAGAGAGAGAGAGAGAGAGAGAGAGAGAGAGAGAGAGAGAGAGAGAGAGAGAGAGAGAGAGAGAAACACAAATGAATACAAACGTTGTCCTAGTCCAACGCGATCGTGATCAGAACATCCCTGCCAATGTCAATACCAAGTCAGCAGCAGTGCAGCTCCAAAAAAATCGACGCGGTTCGCTCCCTGGACATTTCTCAGGATCGCCAGGAATCCAGGGGCGCCCCTGTTGCCACTCATCCACTGACCCACCCTCGTGACCTTTCTGAGCTAAGTGACCTCTGTGCCACCCTGTCCGACCGGCCAGCCGCCTCTAAACGACCGATGACCCGGCAACAGGCGGCGGGTCAGACGGGCGCGCCCAGCGTGGCCCACTTAATGACTAATGAGCTCTGAAATCATCGCACTCACACCCATCCCACATGGCGCGCTGATGTGTCATGGCCTTGGCGTTGCGATTTGGGCGGCGCGCTGGCCCGGCGCGGTGGCGCCGCTTCCCTCCCGCCTGGGAAGAGACGCGACGCGGTACGAGTCCGTACCAGGAAACTGTCGCCGCTACGGCTCAATGAGACATCGCGACTCGGTCTTCCGCGGGGGAGGAAGGAACAGACGTGCGTGTGGCTTGGGATGGAGGCGAGGGGTTAGTGGGGCAACAGGAACGGGGGATGGGTGGGAAATGAGCTGGTTGTGGGACAGTTCCGGATGGATCGTCTCACAGCTGAGCGATAGGACGAAGCCGGCACTATGGATACGGTGCTGGCCTCGCGGATGCTCTCAGAACATCCGTGCAAGTATTTCCGAACTCTACCAATCACCGAACCGAATCATGTCGCTCCGTATACAATCACCAAGAAGTTTACGGGACCCCGCTTTTCTAGCTGCACGCAAAGCACGCGGGCCGCCCCTGACCGGGTCAAAGGTCGGCCTGTCCGAGCCAAGGCCACCAATCAGTGGAGCGGGCAATGTGGATACTCGGCGCCGAGGGCCTGTTCAGCACTAACCGGCGCCGGGCACACACGGAAATGTCAATACGAGAGTGTTTTCACACCCCGAATAGGCCGCCTAGCTATTTATACTCCCCTCTCACGGGCCGCATTTTCTCACACCACGACAGAGGGAACGAGAGGGCACATTGCGTCACACGCCGAGTTCGAAACGTGTAACCGATGCTATCTCTAAGGGATACGTTACAGCACTTTCTATGCTCGATTCGCTAAACCGCGCAACAGGTTATACATTAGCAGGTAAGTCACACGGCAACACGGGTCAGCCGGCGGCAAAAACTGTTTTCTTGCAAACAGGTTGTGGCGAGCGGCTTATTTGATATTTGCGGACGGACTCGGCGACAGAGCGGCTTTCGCAGGATTCCAGCGCCGCGCCGGGCGTCACAGGTCCCGCTCTTGCCGGATAGGACACACGGAACTGGGGCCGCGCGGCGCGGGTTATCAGAAGAGCTGCTTGTTGGAAACACTGCGGAAGACCCCAGCGCCACAGAGATGCGGTGACAAAAATAATACACGGTGTGACGCAAATTGCGCGAGTTATGCATAAGACGGCAGATATCCGTAAATGTTACGGCATAAAAGACTTTGAGGATTAGTGATAATCGACCTTGGCAAGGACAATGTGATAAAATACGGACATCAACAAAGAAGGTCAGGCATATCAGATGAGCACTACATGTCAAGTGGAACGGTATTCTCGCTCCCATATCGAACAACTGATGAGGTGGAAATCAACTACACAAATAAGCTTGCTTATCAAGGTCATCTACTATCCAGGCCAACTTCAAGACGCGCACTCGATCTGGATCCTCGAGCAATTTCACTCAAGGAAGCGAAATGATTTGAGCCGTTGCTATCTCATATCTAGTCTGGTTTTGGGAACAGCCGACGATGCATAGAGCCGGTAATATTCCATGCTGCGTGAATCCATGCACCAGGGATGTCTGTGTGCATGCCGGATATGAGGCATGAGAGAGCCTGCAAGCTAGAAGAACATTTAACTTCGGAGAAATGTTTTCGACACAATTACATGGAAAATGATGCGATTTAGCAGTTTTGCATTTCACTTGGTACGTGAACAATGAACTGAATCGGCAATTAGGAGTTGTTTAAGGTGCAAGTTGCAAGCATGCGACAGGCATGTTAGCAGATAGTGTCAACTGGGAAGACAGAACAGGCGACTGGAAACCTGATACATCGATGCTGCTTTTGTCATGCAGTCATTTTGGTGCTCTACTGGTTGCACCCACGTATTGCATGCCAGTAACAAGTTTGACATCAAACTGCACCATTATTTGTTTACAGATGACCAGGACATAGTTGCAAGATTAACGGAAGTGATTCTCGGCAGCCCTTTCACATGCTGTGTACGTAAGTCACTGTAAGACGTCATAGGATGATTGGATGAAGCTCATAGGGAGAAGCTCATTCCTCAATCGTGAATATCCAAAAGATATATTCACGATTTTTCCCACCCGGGCTACCAAAGCCGACAGTAACCGCTCGATACCCATTAATCTATCCACAGGTGTGCCTCAAACCATCCCGGCCAGCCGGAGAAATGAAGCTCATCGAGTGCAAGTCGGAAACCGATCGCGTCACTGTCCTTGTCGTATCACCCTGCCCATCATCACATATGCATTCTGGCCACAGGAAACTGTTCGCCCGACGAGCCGGTTTGCCTCGCCGGTCACATCATCATCTGACTTCATAGCTATTTGCCACCCGACGCCCGTACGACCTTCTCTAGGCTGCGCAACAGGTTTTGCGCGCAAACAGGTAAGTCCCACGAGAAGGAGGAATGAGCGACGTCCGAAAAACTCGGTCTGGCAGCGGCCGCTCGGGCGCGTTTGAAGCCGGGAATGGTTGACACGTTTGCTGGCGTTCCGAGTAGAAGCGCAGAGGTGACAGCCGTCCGAGGCGCACTGTGGTGTGTTTACACACGGCACGCGGGTCGGGGAGTGACACTATCACCTCGGCTGGACAGCGGTCGTCCGCCGGGACCGTCAACTATGCGCACCATCTCGTGCTGGCGCCGGCCAAGGTGCTCTTCACGGCATCGTGTCGCGTGGACACGATACGCGAGTAGTGTGCCACACCGTGACAGGGGCACGATGGCACCGAGGTGGGCGCAGTGGGGAAAAGGAGACAGCTCTCCCACTGCGCACACCCGATCGGTGGTGTCACCGCGCCACCAACTCACACTTACACACGGACGGTCACCTTAATCTGCAACACGGAACCGATCTAGTGGCGATACGATAATTCCCACTAATACTGACCCGATCCATACCGGCAGAGTCCCTCGAGAAGAAAAATGGCCATCTGAGTCAACAGCCTATCAGCGCCAGACGGCAGACAACGCGGAAGCAAGGACATCACATTTGCATTTCCTCGTCATCAAAACGACAAAAACACTTATCACAATGAGCCAAGGTGACTAATGCTAATACATAATCCAGTAAAAATGCTGCCCCAGACACGGACAATTGTTGTCCACACGTGCCTGTGTGACCGTCGGGGAGCCGGGAGCTCTGGGGCCGCGCTCTGAGCCGCGTGGGACAGTCGCCCTGTCACTACCGAACAGTCACAGGCACACGGTAACCAGACAAACACCCCATTTTACGGCACCTCGCGAACGAGTCGTATTGTTTGCTGGTGTTTGTTCAGTTGCATCACGGCTTTCCTCCGAAGAAGATATCATATCCGGAGAGGCCTTGTGACTTTTACCTATAATACCATCACGAAGCGCTCTGATTTCCTGCTATGGTGCTACCTGTTCGAATGGCACAAATCGGTGGCGCAGACAGAAAAACGACAGAGTCGGAACATTTTGGTGGCGCTCCGTGCTAGTCTCCGTCCACGCACACCCAGTAATGACCCGCCACTCGGAGAACCAGCGCCGCCCCCGCCGATCGTATCGGAGCAGTGACTGCCACCCGACGGCACGGCGCCGCACCCCGGCCACCGGCCGCCAGCGCCCGGAAAGTCGCCGCCGCGCACACATCTCAGAGGGGTTATTCATCAACAGAAAGGCGGAACATGACGTGAGCCTGATTCTACTAAGAACAACTTCACTACCTAATAACGCCCACGTCCGTCCATACTCGACAGGATGGCTGGAATAAAAAGTCACATCGCGACTAAGGAAGACAAGTCGGTACGTCTATTGATCGCCGTACTGCGCAGATTCTCAGGCCTACATTGTCCAATCAAACAGACAAGGGCAGTCACCCCTGTCCGAAGGAATAGTTTAACGTCGGATGTCATACAGATGTCACTTCTTGCTAGGAGTGACGCAATTTTCATTTTGCATAGTAACCCTGCAGAGTTTATCCGAGCAAATATGAAGTTAAGATAGAGCAAAGATTCCCAGCCGGGGGCTCCCCTTGGGGGAATTACTAGGGCTGCATGTGGCCGTAGAGGCCTATTGAGAGGCCCGTGCCTCCTAATTCAAAGTAACGGACATCGTATATCCCCAAATAACGGTAGGGGGAAGTGAAATGATGTTACAGTAGCGTTTAGTGGGGGAATCGATCCAAAAAGTTTGGGAACCCAACAGATTTAGAGATGAAAGTCACATCCCAGTCGTTCTAGAAAACCCGCATAGGCATGATTTGACGTCACCGATGAAAAACCAATGAGCAAGACTATTGAGAAAAGTTTACGATTCGGAATATCAGACAACACATCAAACCAAATTCTTGGCTATGACAGATCACAGGATGATCAGCAGCCTCCAATAATTGATTCATCGAACAGCTGAGCGCCGTCATGCCCCGCTGATCACTCGCTCTTACTGCGTTCATGCATCAAAAGACTCTACACCAGAGATCCGAACCACCCATAAGGTGCCAAGGGTTACCAGTTTTCTTCCTAGCCTAAAGCAAGAGTGTCAGTCGACAAACCATGACAATGCCAATTCTGACAATAAAAAGACAGCTAAGCATATACGACACTCAGAAAAACTTCAGTGTTGGCTATATAACTGGTCTGACCACATTGTAATACACAGCACATTCTCCTGAGCAGGTACTTCCCGACATTCTACAATGCAGGTGCGCGACAAGTATGTCGCCCATCCAGCCACTAAGTCGCCACTTACCTTTTCCAGCAATTGTTTGACCTCCGCCTCACGCCGTTGCTTCTTGGTCTGGTACGGGTTGCTCTCGTACGCGTCAAAGTTGGCCTGGCCGGCACCTGAGGGCGGCAAGGAACAAAGGTCACTACATGAGATAGTCGTCTTCAGCCAAACAGGCTTGGCTTCATGTATACAGTTGGCGAGGTCATTAAACCGCTGTTAATTTCCACGCGCGCGTTTCCGGCGGCTATCAGCTCGGTATACACATTGGCGTTTTCGGCGCACGGCGCGCGCCTGCCGGCTGCAGCCCGGGGCGTCTGCCTCGTATCAGTGTGTCCACGATCCGTTACCGCGGCTGGCGCGCCTCACTGCGCCCTGGGGACGGCCGGCGGCACGCGCGGACCCCGCGGACCGTCCCCCAGGGCGGGGCCGCCCCGCCGGGTGTCGCCGCAGATAGGGAGGCGCCGCGCGCCCGTCTGCTGGAGCGGTCGCGGGGGCCGCCCGGCGCCCGGCGGTGCCTGTGGTCCGCGCGGCAGAGGCGCCCGAGCGGTGATACTTACCGTCCCCCCGCGGCCAGTTCGACACCTACAGCTCACCAAACAGTCGCCACAGAGATTACAGGCCCGAGAGAGCCACCGTCCATCGACCGAGAGTGATGAAATCGGTGGATATGCCAAACACATTCAGCATTCTCAACATAAGTGACTCCCTTAGTACATACAAGATAAACCAATCTTGTAGCCCAAGCAAATCCATAATCACAACTCTCACCACGGAATGCATACAACGCCACAATTTACCGATATCCTCTACCTAACCTTGTTACCGTAAACACCCTCCCGTCCCTCGAGTCCCCTCCTATGGGGCTCCCGTCCCTACAGTCCCCTCCCGCGGGGCTCCCGTCCCTACAGTCCCCTCCTGTGGGGCTCCCGTCCCTCCCTCTCGTAGGGTCAGCGCCGCCGAACCCAATCTCCAGCCGACCGCTCGCCGCGCCACCTACCGGGTACCAGCATGCTGGTGAAGCCGTTTCTGTGTCCGCAGCCGAGCACGTCCTCGTAGGGACAGAACTGGAGCCCGCTGACCGAGCCCGCCATCTTGTGTCTCAGGTACGGACGATCAGGGGTACCGGTGATACAGTCACGGTACACCTGCAGGGGAGGAGGGAAATGTGTCAGAGAGTAGAGGGCGGGAGTTTAGGTGTCTACCGTCTACGGTCAGGGCTTAAATGGCAAGGGTCATCATGCAATGGCAGAAGGTTGGGACTAGGGATTCGAGGACAGAGGTACAAATGTTCAGAGGGTGGTATTTAGTTGCCAGCAGTGAGAGTTTAGCAGTGCCGAGTCACGATTAGAAGTCAGAAGTTGGCTACAACGAAAGTCAGCAGTTAGAGGTCAGGGTCGATCTTAGCAGTCGGGGACAGGGTTCAAGGTAGATCACGGTCAGATATCAGATCGCGGTTTAGTAAGACAGCGGCAGAGGTGAATCATCTGGGGCGGCACAGCTTTACAGTTAACTAAGAGAGCCGATAAAGTAAGCGAAATGGGGATGACAGCTAAGAGAAGTGATGGGTGCAATTTATCTGCCCAGCTGATTCAAGATAACGTTCTTATCTTTGCTATGACGAATGAGTTGGTATAAATGAAGCACCTGTTTACTGGTCTAAGTGATAAGGCTAGATTAGCATTACCGGGGCAAGCGATATCAAGGGTCGACTCGAGACACAATGGAAGGTAAGAAGCATAAAGATAAGGAATCAAACGACATCACTTTTTTACAATGATTCACAATGACCATATTACCCGACATGAAACAATGAGCGTCAATGACCCGCTTCCGAATAGATCGGCTTCATTTCCAGGACCTGCCAATGAGCAGCGGATGTGACCACTGACGACACAATCAGACGCCAGCCCAGCCCTGCCGGTCGGGAGCCGTCGCAGCGCTGCCGGGCCCATTGTCCCCACCGGCAGCGGGTCTTCCTGCTCCTACAGTTAGTCTGCACCCGCTGCCCACCGGCCGCTACAATACAGTCCGGCGGCCCGGGCCGGGTGGTTTCCCAGAACAGCGCTCGGGCGGGTGGCAAGGCCGGTCGGTCAGGTGCTGAGACGCCGCCACCGGGTCCGGGACGGACACACGACAGGCCGCCGGACCGGCAGCAGTTTTACGCACCGCCGGGAGCCGGAGCCGCAGTGACTTCACTGGCCGCATTGTGAGCGGATCGGCCGCGCTGCCAACCGGCCCCCGCCACGCGACTCTGACACGCCGACCGGACCAACAAGGCAATGGCATGAGGCACCATTGTGGCGGATAAAACTCGGCAATCCTGTTCGAGCGGCTACTTTGGTAAACCGGCTTTGACGTGTTCATTTGCTGACCATCAGCCACTAGCGCTGTTTGCTGATTAGCCGGATTAAGCCAGCGGTCTTTGTCTTTGGTAGCTGATCGCTGTGGCGGCGCTCTATCTCACCGGTTCCACACCGCTCAATACGGAGACCACGGGATAGTGTGCCGTATGTCGTGCGGTTTGGCCAAATGTCAGTGAGCCGAACTGGTTCCGTGTTTCGCCGAACGGAGACGGACCACACGCCGTGAACGGGAAGGGACGAGTCGCTGCCAACCGCAGTTTGTCACACAGTAACTGAACGGCGCGCCACACACCGCTGTACCTACACTGGGCGGAGAGCCGACAGAGCTATAAACTGCGCTGCAGGGTAATTAACCCGCGCCCCGTAGGGCTACCGGCGGACCCTACCACCCGTAGGGGGGGGGGCCGTTTCGGCCCCCCCCCCCCTAAGATCTCGGAAAGTTACCGGCCGATTTTCAAAATTCAAACGGCGTTCGATAGCCCCACCCGGGAACTACCTTGTGACCAAATTTCATTGACCTAGGTCAAACCGATGACGTCACAGGTCAGGTCAAAGGTCAGATTTTCACCGTTCACAGGCATTTCAAGAAATGTGTTGTGAAATCGAGTTAATTGGTAATTTATTGAAAACCATCGATGGTGCATTGTTCGTCAAACACATACTTTGCTATCTGAGGTCACTGATACCAGGTCAGGTCACAGCGAGGTCAGGTCACCGGGGTCACAATATGAAAGTGTCGTGTGATACATGTTTTATGGTCCATTTTACATGACAAATGCGATTATGTGGGTTAGGCAGCCTTTGGGGCCAGCCTAGGTCACGTTTTGGTGAAGGTCAGGTCAAGGTCAGGTCAAATAAGGTCAAATTTCAAAGTTGATATTTTTGCATAAAATGGGTATCGATTCGATGCAGCTCGTCACGGGGAGTCTAATGGTGGTCTTTGTTTTGCTCTACGAGGTCTAGAACTGCCAAAAATTGAGTTTGAAAATTTGACGTCATCAATTTTGAAGTTTTTTCGCTATAACTTGGCCGAAAAAACGAGGTATCGATCTGAAATTCGGTATGTAGATAGAAGACGGTAGGTACTATCACATATATTCCGGTTTTTTTGAAACTCAAAAAACTTTTTGGATTTTTTGGCTAATATATCCAAAAAAATGTTTTTTTGATTTTTGGGGTTCAAAACTCAAAAATTTCAAAAATCCGAGATAGCAGTTTTGTAGCCCTGTCAATTCTACATCTTTTATGTCTTGATCATTTTTCTGTATCTTCAAAGCTGTAGGCCTGACAATTCTTCTCGCGAAGGTCTTTTTTCGGTCGAAAATGACAGAACATGACGTCATTCTGACGTCATTTGTGGCCAACCTATCATAGCCTCTGGAAAAATTTTTGGTCACAATGTGTAAAATTGATGCCCGGAGGGGTCCTGAAAGTTTGGTGGCGATATCTGAAGCGGTTTAGGAGATATCGACCGAAAAGGACAGGGGGGGGGCCGTTTCGGCCCCCCCCCCCTACGGGGCGCGGGTTAACAGTAATAAAAGACTGATTAAGGGACTGGCACACTGATTATACATGACACACAGACGGATGTATATCTCAGCTCAAACCTGAAATTCGATACACTCTCAATCGCCCGGCATTAACTGTGGAAGCCTCTAGCATTGACCCCCCCCCCCCCTCCCTCATCATGTCTTTCGCCACAGAACAGGGCATTGGGCATCGCCCCTATCTTTCACCAAACACGGCGGGACCGTGAATTACTGAGCACCTACCTCCACTGTGTTACCGACAGCGGCTGCCAGCAGGTGCTTCTGGCTCCACTGCAGGTGACTGGCTCCCGCACCCAGCCGGTACGACTGTAGACAGCCGTAGGTGCGCAGATCCCACACCTTCACAGTCCGGTCCACACTGCCCGTGGCCAGATACCTGACGAAGGAGGAACAGGGTCGGGTCACCGGGTCATTAGCAATGTGTCTTTACCACATGACATGTGCCAAGTTAGCGGGTGACACACAAGAGAGTGATTACACGGAACCTATACCCAAAGCAGTGGTGAACAGATAAAGACAAACACCACAGAGTGAGCTTAACAATAAGGCATGTCTCGTGCGATGATGATACTACTTGGTTTTGATGACGTTCTCACAGGCTGTGTTATGTGGTGCTCACTCATTCTGCCTTGCGAATCTTTCTGACACTTTGTCGCTCTTTTACTGCTGCTAGGAAATGTCAAGAGGGAAATAAAGAGACCTCCGCATTTCAGTGGGAATAAGGCATTTCACAATTCAAATGCAACGTCTTGAACCCGGACTTTGCAACCGCACAACAATCTAAATAAAGCGATGGGTAATGACCCATTATTACCGCAAGGTTACACGCTCATAATACACAAGACTGCGGCCTGTGGTCAGAGGGCTGACGAGCTTTTTCCGCGGCTGTGCAAGCCGTTCCGCATCAGCGTTCTCAACACTTGTCAACAAGTCGCAACAGCAATTGGCCGTGTCATGACGGCACAGTTGCGGCGAGCGAGCGGGAGAGCCTTCCAGGAGTGCGGGAGAGTCACGTGGTCAGCCTGACACGTGGACAGATACCCCGCCCGCTGACACAGGCACAAACGCCTCCAGGACCGCGGAAATCAAGCCCAATTACGTCTTAGAACCGTCTGGACACGGTGAGCTATTTGCAAACGAAAATAAACCTCAGCGAGACGTGTTTGCTCCTCTCAATCCGGAAAATGGTCACCAAGACCTCTTAACATGTCACTGTTTGACCCCGAGATCGCCCAAATATTTATCCTCTAATACGCATCGCTTGGATTAAATGGCTAAAACAGGCCAGCTTCATGCGCCAGACGGCCAGGACTCTGCTACGAGATCGGTCAAATATGTGTAAACACGCACCGCGTGACCAGCACGCACAAGTTAACACAGACAGAAACAGTTGCATCATTCATCGGAAACCTCCCACAAATTCCTCCCAATCGAGACAGCGGGGTAAACTGACCCCGAAGAGAGGCTACATCATGTCCAAAATGAATGAGTACCGAACGGTAATCAATTGAGAATGTGATGCCGCTATCCAAACATAACATGGCATTGAACACTGCTCAGAATATTTATGGAGGCATAGATGTCGTTATTTTCCAGCAAATAAGACTACCGTCTACCAATTGTCTGTTCACGTGGTATTGTCTAAACAATGTAAACGTTACGATTCTATTCAATTTGGCATCTAAATGTGCATAACTTTTCTTTTGTATGGTTGAAAGCTCAGTTACTTAAAAGTGAAATCGTAAGCAGATGAGCGGATTCACATTCAATCCCACCAGAAACATCCATTTTGGCATTCATTTCTAGGTGTTCACCTGTTCATATTAGTGCCTATCTTTCATTGAAAAGAATGAGCAACTTCACTGAGGGTAAAACATCTATTAGAATTCAAGTTTGCATCTGTCAAATCCCTTCCAGCATATTCCGAGAGAGGGCAATATGCTCAGCCCAAGCCGTTTCGCTAATTCTCTTGCCTGCTCCATCTGCCCCTCCAACGCCCGTTAAGCCAGTAGTCTACTCTGTAGATACAGTTGGGCACACCACAACCACAACCACGGCTAAGCCGGGAGCGACCGCTGCGACATCTCCCGGCACTCGTCCGAACGAGTCTCAGCCGGTCACCCTGCCAGTGCCACATCCAGCGAAACGGGGTGTTCAACGCTCAGAACACAGCGAAAACCAGTTCATAACGATAAATGGCAGTTTTATGAGGAAGACAGTAAATTTCGTCATATTTCATTAAGTTGCTAACAGCATTCTAAGAATCGTCAAACGCTTGCACGTCAACTTACATAATACCAATGCACACAAATCTATCGTGTGAAGTTTCTAAAAAGAGCTCTAACAACGTATTTGCAAATACGTCAATCCTCCGTTCCATAGTTTCCATCCTCAGGATAGTCAAATCCTTCTCCTCTACGCCTCCATCCCTTTTCCGGGCTGGACGGGTAACTTTATCCTATGCGGGCAGCTTCATCCCATGAGCAGGCCCGTAGCCGGGTGCAGTGACTGTCAGGGGGTTGGGTGGCCTGTCCAGACCAGGTGATGGGCTCAGTCTCGACGGGTCACCCAGGTGCCCGCCCAGATCAATGGATCCCCCCTAATTCCTAGCATTCTTCCGGCTCTGCAATGGTCTGATTAGACCGAAAGATCCCAACAAAACAAACGAGCAAACGCCAATCGCCAATTATTTCACCGTGACACCGCTTTTCATCAGTTCCCAGTTATAAGTCTCCACCACCCTTCATCCTCCCTTCTCTCCCTTCTCTATCTCCCTCGCCAACCCTCCATCCAAGACTTTTATATCCAGCCCTCCCCTCTCCCCTCAACGCTCACGTGCAGGTGTGGTCCCACCCTCCTCTCTTTCCCTTCCCCTCTCTACCTCATCAATTGTCCAAAGCCCCTAAAACATCCCTCCCTTCTCCCCTCATCACTCACGTGCCCGTGTGATCGACACTGACGGCCTGGACAGGGTGCGGGTGGCAGAGTATCTTGGCCACGGGCTCCGGTACGTTGGGCGTCCACATACTGACCACGCCGCGCGTGTGACCCAGACACAGCACGGCGTTCGCTGGGTTCTGACACATGACGCCCAGTCGGCCCATCCGTGTGTGCGTCTGGGTGACGATCCGGCCCGTGCTGACGTCCAGCCAGTTGAGAAGGCCCCGCTCCGTCTGTTGGATGGGAAGAGATCAGGTCAGGTCAAGTCAGCTCGGCTGAGCTGGTCAATACAGTTTAGCGAGCCACACTACATACATTCGCCAGAGCTGTCAGGGTTGAGTGTTAAATCAGGCCATATCAAGTCAGTTTAGACTAAACGGCTGTTTTACGACTTACGGTGGAGAGAAAAATGTCGATAAGACGCCAAACCTAGAAGTTACCCGGTGCCCTTAACCCGGCAGTTGCTGGGGTATTTCGCCACCCACCGTTTGCTGGGGGGGGGGGGGGGCGTTAAACGCCCCCAGCCGATAACTCGAGAACCAATAGGCGCAGCGAAACGCACGAGGCGGCAAACGAAAGAACGCGACGAGTCGCTTCAGATGAGTACTTTAAAGTTGAATTTTGAGGTCACAGGTCGGGTCAAGGTCAGGTCAAACACCTGAAATCGGGCTTTCAGTAGCATGGACTTCAGGACTTCGCAATGGGCGCCTCTCGTCATAAACTCTGTCAAAACGGTGCACAATCCATCATATAAGGCCTACAAGAGTGTCAGCTCCATATAGGGGTCAGTCAAGCATAGGTCAGGGTCAAGGTCAGGTCAACCGGGTAGGCAAATATCCCCGAAAATCAAAACTGATATTCGCAGCCTGTGACACATGTTTTATGGGTAATTTGGGGCGTAGAACACGATGGTGACATTCATTTTATCATATGTGTACGTGTTTGGCTCAAAAAGTTCAATTTAAGAAATGCATGTATCATGGTCCTAAAGTAGTCACGAGAAATTGCCAAGATTCAGTTCAAGCTTTTGGAAAATGCGGAACGATAATCAATAATCGAAGATAGCCATTTGATTGTTCATGGTATTGGCAGTCTAATGGCGTTTACGGCATGTCTGTATGTCTATTCTGTGATTTTATATGATTTTTTGAACATATGCCGTTTTTGGTCGAAAACTCAGAAATCATGACGTCACTAAAACCTCGATATCTCAAAAATTTTCCGACCGATTTTTTTGAAACTTTGTCACAATACACTTCATTTAATTCCCTACAGGTACCCAAAATTTGCAGGCGCGCCGTTTTTATGCTATGGCCCGGCAAAAAAAGTGGGGGCGTTTAACGCCCCCCCAGCAACTCGCGGGTTAAATAGACTTATGACAGTTTGAAGCACGTGCTGAACCAGGTGAAGGTCGTGAATAAAAACACAATGACTTGTCACTCATATGTTGTTGCAAGCAAGGATCGAACCCGTGGCGCCAACAGGTCTACCGATACCGCCGTGCACACATTTCCATTGATTACTTCAGAAAGGCACCAGCCCCATTCTTTCCGAGTCCACCATCAAAACCCCCACAGCCATGCGGCTACCGGGCGAGGAAAACACAAAAGCCTGATTGCGCCGCCGGACCAATGGTTTCTGTAAACTCATCAAAGTTTTTAGTGAAGCGATGTATCCGGACGGCAGGGCAGGCCGACAGACGCGGCAGCGGCGGCCGCCCGGCGGCGCTCGGTTGGCGTGACGTCACAGGGGGGGGGGGCGATAGGAGCACCTGCTGATACGGGCGGCTGTGGTGGGACGGTACGGTACGGAGCGTCGTCAGTGGGGCATAGATGGCCGCGGTGACAGGTTGGACTTTGGTCAGAAAATGACATCTCTCCATTAATGCATTTTAATCATGAGAACTTATTCACTTGATGCTTCGAGTAAGCAAACTCGTATGTTACAACACGTGTTGCAATCCTGGCGATGAAAAAGTAAAAACCGTCTATGGAACGTAAACCGGAAAGTTTCTAGGCAGGATCGAACCCAAGGCATTTGGATAACCCCTGCCGCTAAAACGCTTTGCGCGTCAACATCGGAAGACACCGCTCGCAGCCAACAAGAACGCACGCCTTCCAAAAGGAAACCCCTCCGCGGACATAATGCCGTCACACGAAAAGCCTGATAGCGCCGCCAGACATGTGGGTTGTGAACCTTTCGGCAAAGTTTCTGTTTGATACGATGAATCCGGCTGGCCAGGCAGGCCGCGGAAGTCGGCCGCCCCGACCGGCCGGCTGTACGGTAATGATAAGTGACGTCACGTGACGTCACAGCCGGCGATTGCGCCACCTGGCGCTGGAGCTGGTGCGACGGCCGCCGCCAGGGCCCTGTTTCAACAGTGAGAGCAGCACGCTGCTATTCCATTTCGCGAGCTGACGTCACACTTCTGGTAGTGTTGGAGGAATAGGCTTGTGGACTTCTCCATGGAAACCCAATTTGACACGTGTAATAGCAGCTTGATAGCAGCGTGCTGCTATCACCGGTGAAACAGGGCCCTGGACCGAGAATGGGGCATGGTGCTACCGGCTTGGGTAGACAATAGAACTTAACGCAAACAAGAACGTTTCGGGTATTCGAAACACTAATCACCATGACCATACTTACGCTTCGGGTATTCTTTCCACATTTTCCATGCAAATTGGAATCAGGTGATCGATTCCATTCTGCGAATGCTCGACGGCCCCAAGATGCATTCCAACCTTGGTCAGACATTGGCCTTTTAAGACCACAAAGATTCCCCCCGCGTTCGATGTCTCTCGGACGACGAAGATTCCATGCCGCCTGGCCAATCCCGTTCAATGTCGCGGGGGCTTGGCTGTGGTTATGGAACGGGACTGGCCGGACGACGTAGAATCTTCGTCGTCCGGGAGACATCGAACGCGGGATCCATGCCTCGGTTATATCGAGTGTGAATTTTATCATCCTAGTTAGTTAGCCAGATCCAAACGTAAGTAGGCTCTACCATAGTACATTTACAGATTGTCTATTATGTGGGCATTATGCTGTCACGTCACCCAGAAAAATCCATATACCCGACGCAGTTTTCTACATTCAGATGAATCATGGGCACGTTTTAGGACAGGGCTCATGGAAGTAAGAGTCGAAATGTGAAGGTACTTTTATGAGTCATGGGTGATTAACCTTAAAAATCGACAAAATACGGAAAGAAATAATAAACTTAAAATTTTACGACGCTCAGGAAATAAGTATTTTTTCAGTTTGGATGAATAAATTTAGGTTCCGGACCAAAGTCATCGATGGATAAACCAGTCCCCGAGAGCCAGGGAAGAATCAAGGATGGGACTGGTGGAAGTGGAACCGAGATTGAACCTAAATAACTGAGCATGACCTAGCGTGGGGCGACCTCATTCCCTTGTCTTTTAGCTTTGAAACCCAAGATGGATGCATAAAGCACTCACACAGCAGGTCAGTAGGAAGTGGTAGGGCAGGAACTCCAGCTTCAGCGCCCGGTGCAGCGTCTTCAGACAGTGCAGCTCGGTGCCCTGGCTGTCGTAGACGAACACCCACTCCTTCTGCGCCACCGCAAACATGTTCTCGTTGTGCAGCCACCTGGCGACGGAGGTGGGAAGCGTTAGTACGGCGATAGATTGACCGAAGCCTAACGATGGACGTGAACATGAGGTAGCATTTGGAGACACAGAAAACCTACACTCAATGAACAATGAACATGCGACTTAAAACAAAAACATTGCAATTATATGTCTGAGACCACTACCGACCATCATTTCTCCTCACCCGTAAACGGAACACCCAAATCGGCCCTCTAAAACCCCAGCACATCCCGTTCTCACTTGACGTCATGGACGGATTCGCCGACAGAGACCTCGCACATCAGCTGTTTGGTGACCCAGTCGAGGGCGGCCACGTGACCCAGCGACCCGCCCAGCAGCAGCTGGCGGCCGTTGCGCGTATAGTTGGCGCAGTAGGGGCCGAACTGGCGCAGCCGCAGCTCGAACTGTTTGGTGGCAGACGTGATGTCGACGGCGTCCCGCAGATCCGACTGGCTGATGTCGGCAGTGTCCTCGCCCTCGTCCGCCTCCAGGAAACTAAAGGTGAATCGCGATACGGTCATGATCACCATCAAGGTCACGGTAAGGTCACGGTCATGGTCAAGGCGTGTAATGGTCAAGCACGGTTCACGGTCACGGGCAGATCTCGGGACGGGTCGATCGATCAGGCTGAAGGTAGGCCACCGTGAATCAAGATAGCAAACGGAAACGGCGCAAATAACGGGAAGTGCATATTATGGTCATCACTGTGAAGTGCAAACTCACTGAAATAAAATACAATCAATTGATGAAACGATGACTGAAACCGATCAACCCATTTCACAAAAGCCTACCAGATCTTCAGAAACCACATGATCTTTAAATCAACGACAAAAAAGATTATGTACCTAGTACCTACCACGCTAAACTAACTCAGGCATCGAGCCCCGCCCAGCGACCATCGCTCGCCAGTCTCTTCAGTTCACCCCACCCCCTTCAGAAGTCTCACAGCCACAGCACGGTCCTCCCCGCCCTGTGGACCCACGAAACTGACCCATCCTCCTCCTGAAGCAGCATCTCGCCGGTGGCCATCTCATGGAGCGCCTGTTCCGTGAGCCGCTCCCGGCGCCGGGCGTGTGCCTGGTGCGGGCCCGGCCGGAGGGACGACACGTCCAGCCCTTCGCCCCAGTCATACTTGTCCAGCTGTGAGTGGGAGTGTGGCACCGGTCCTGTGGGCAGAGGACACGGTGAGGTGGCAATCAGGATGGATGCATGAGTAAACAGAACAGACAGTCTGAAGATGTATTTTATTGATGTCTAGTGTAAAAATTGGCAACAACATTCAAAGAGAGGAATCCTTCAAAATCCTTTCTACAAATTCTCAAATCAGTTATTGGATGCCCTAAAAGTCATAACTTTTAACTAAATAATCACCTGGGAAGGGATCTCCATCATCAGCATTTTTCGGCCTGTTCCATGGCTGCCTGGTCCTATTGTCTTTCTTCCGATCAACTTTCAAAACCTGTGTGGCCTTTGAAAGCTCTTTCAACTTGTGTGGGACTCGGCCCTGCTGACGAAGCTGCCGCCGCTCTTTCTTTGTCAGCACTTTGGCTAACTCCATGACAGATAACAAATACTATAAAAAACTATTCTTCAAATGTAACACCCCAAGAACTGCAATTGCTTTGCATGTCCCAGTCCTGAAAAGAGGAACAGTGGATGCTTAAAAGCACAATGAGTAGCCTATGAATGTGCAATAAAATAACCAAGATGAGCACCCAAACAACAAACTTGACCAGCCCAATGCTTCAGTGAGATTGCATAAGCACAAACTGCACCCCCTTGTTCTGAACCCTGAACCAACCAGCATGGACTGCTTCTGCCTACTCCAATTGCTGTAACTGTTTCAGGCTGATACTGACTGTTCATTATCAGTGGCAACTGGTAATGGGTCACGACACAGAGCACATTCAATGGATGAGTTGGGGCTGGACTGTGCCAGTTGTCAGGCCATGTGAATGTGGCTGTTAAGAGGCGCAGGTAGCAGTTGCTACTTTGACTCGGTCCTTGGACTAGCGGCTAAGGCCAGGGTCATTAGTTGGTCTTGCTAACTTAAACTTTGTTTTAGAAGTGAAGTGTGATTTCTGTGGAATATACCTTCTACAGTCAGCCCACAGCCTTGAGTCAGCCAATACAATGAACTTTTGCTTACATTTCTATAGGAACCAAGCAAATGGCTTTTATTCTTAACTGACGAGTGACACACAATGTGAAAGTGGCACAAAATGACCATCCACATCTGTATACTTCACTGAATGCACAGTAGAATATTCTGCAGGAATTATTCTTCATATCCAAGGAGGCATCAAACATTCCTACAACTTCCAGCAACAGCTCAAGTTGAAGTGCTGAAAACATGGCAGATTTACAAGGTTTTGGAGCTCAGAAACAGAAACGCAGCTTATAAGCAAGCACCACCGGTTGAGAGCAGAAAGAAGATGCCCTTTATACGTGTCAGCACTGCGCATATATGATCCAACTCTCCTAATTTTCCAAGTCCTTTTTGCAATCCCTTATTTATATTCTAACGCAAGCATACGCACCACACGACACACACACACACACGCGCGCACACCAAGCGCACACACGTGTTTCAGACACACGGAACACCATAGATATACAGACGGAACACACACAGCACAGCGACGCGAGATATTCAAGATCAACGTTCTATTCATGACTAGAAAAGTATTTTCAGGTATATTTAAAATGACGTCATGAGACCATCCATCATTGAATGGAACTTACTGTAAAATTTGTGAACTGATGCAAAGATACGAACGGAAACTGTGCAAGATTACAGTGATTAATGTGATGCTACAAAATCTTCAAATTGATCATAATATTCAGACTAATGAGGGTCCTGGTGAAATTCAATTTTTCGAGGCAGACGTATACGTCACTAAACTTATCAATCGTATCCCAAAATAACTTTTATTTCGAATGTGATTTTGGCGCAGGCGTTACAAAGACGGCGCGGGCGTTGACGCCTGCGGCACTTCACTCAATATACCCTGTGCGGCACCAAGGCCCTATAAACCAGGTAGGGTCGTCCGGCGATTCTACCTGATCGTGACGTCAGCTTGTGACGTCATCTGGGGGCAAGTCTTGAAGCCCCGTTTGAGTCCCATGTAAATGGGCGATTTTTGAAGCGCTGTAGAACAAACTCTGTTGGAGCTAGCACAAAACTAATTGCATCATCGGAAAGACGAGACATTTTTCTTTTAATTATCTAAGAGCAGTTTTTCACTAAACCCATTAGTTTTTCCGAAAATGCGTAGAAAAGTCCCATGCCTCCGCAGCCTCCCTTCCGCCGGCCGCTGCGCCCGCGGTAGTGTAGTGGTTAGGATGCTTGCACCGTGAGCCAAAGGTCGTGCGCTCGAATCTAGGCGCGGGTCGGACTCAAATCGAAATTGCAAGCAGAATATGTGTTTTTTCTTTAAAAATCACTTATATTACAGCTAAACGTTCATAAAACTATCGATAACAATTGACTGAAAACCAAAATATACAGTGGCGGATCTAGGATTTGAGTTTAGGGGGGGCAAACATTGCGCCGCCAGGCAAGTCGGCGAGAATTTCAAACGTCCAGTCTTAGGAACAAAAAAAAAAACGAGCTACCCCTATTTTTCTCCTCGGATTTCGGGAATTTTTTTTTTATTTTTTACATTTTTGTCAGTCCGGCCAAGCCAGGGCAGCGCAAAAAAAATTGCAGCCACCCTGACCCCGGGAGATAGTTAGAGAATAGCTCACCGGCGCTATGGACGGTCCGTCCTCTACCTCCCGCATCACCTCGGCAAGACCTCGTCCGAAAGGTCCGCCCGCGCCGGTTCTCAAGGGCTTCTGTATCCGGAGACAGATAAGGGTCGCAGCAGCAGGTTCATGTGTAAATGCCCACGACCAAAGGCCACATCAGCGTACCTGCGATACTATACGCAGTCAGGGTTGCCACGTAGTTAAACGTGTTAACAGTTGTTTCCGGTAATAGAAAATGAGATCAGTCGATTAAGAATCCCAACAAGAAATAGACGAAGAACAGCGCATTTGTTTTCGGTCCTGCATTTATTGATGCAATTACAATGAACATTCCTTAACTTTGGGACTAAACTTCGCGAGCTAGCAAAATTATACAATAAGTGTTACTTTCGAGAGGAGATAAACGATGCTTCTACAGACTGCATAGGACCACAGCGCAACAGCCAACGGAATCACACTGAACAGCGTTAACATACTGAGCTTCTCCAACACCTCGCAAACCAAAAGCTCTGACTGAGCCTTTCTGTGTTTGTCCCCGTTAGATAACGGTATGGCTCATGAAAAAGCCGCGATTGGTAATCTTCTTTACGTTATTCCTCTCAGAAACCCATCTCGCACTTGTTCTCAAAGGCACGCAGTACACCGTTCTTTCTGGCCATCACTGAGTGACACAGCGGCAGTAGCTCAACCATATCGTTCAAACTGAGTTTGGCACCCCCTTTCGCTCCTCAGTCCTGCATACACATATGCAGCTCTTGTAGAGACTCTCGGACTTTGGCACCCTTTAAAGGAAATAGTTCACTAATTAACATGGGTTTTGAACTGGAATAGCAGTTCCGTAGCTTGGGCTGAGACGAGCATAAATCAGGAGCTTTTACAGCCCAACGATCACCCTAGGCAAAGATATTCTATTTCTCGTCCCGAAAAAGGTGTCTTGCGTTGAGGATGTGTGCCTTGCATATATTTCCATCCAGTATGAAAAGAGCATGGGTCCCGAAAATTCTTCAGAAACTAGAGAAATTATCTACGAGAACTCTAGAGAAATTCTCGTACTGATCAATTAGGACATTCAGGAACATTATCAGATCGAGCAGATCGCCCAAATGCCGGTGGCTGCGATAATTTCTCTGTTTTCGGGACCCATGCTCTTTTCATACTGGATCGCGGTGCCTTACAGAAACTGAAAAGTTCTTCCTATATCAAAATATAGAAAAAAAATCTTTTGTTATAAAAAGGTTTTATTTTCTTTGCTGATTATTTTGAACATAAAAAATCATAAATCGTTGCAAAAAAAAATAATTTCGTGAAAGTGAACTATTTCCTTTAAGCACCCCCTTTGGAAATGGCTGTATCCGCCTCTGGACATAACTAACGTAGCCACAGTGGAAATGCTAGGTACTAATGATATTTAGACCCACCAATATTTTTTCAGCTCCTACACCCATGCTATCTAGCAATAAAATATTATGCAAACACTTCTTATATACCCATGCAAACCCACCACTGTCCAACCGCTCACCAGTGTGGTGACCCCTGACCCCACTGGCGTCTGGCGGTCTGCTGTTGACGGTTTGTTTACTTGGTTCAAGGTTTCAATAAATCGCGTTATTTTTTTTTATATTTTTTTTGGTAGCAGTAGCAGTGGTAGCACTGCTGATGGATGATGGACTGACATTCATGGGGCGGAGGACTTTTTATCAGCTCACAACTTAACCCTCGCCCGCACATGGGGGGGGGGTGGTTGCCACCCCCCCCCCCCCCCAGGTAGTCTTTCTGCTCTGCACTCAACATTTTTAGAGCTAGAAGGCTGATTTTTCGTATAGCTGCTCCTCTATCCTTTCTTGATGTCCACTGAAAATTTCAAGTTTCTGTGATTTTTTGTTTCGGAGATATGACCTTGTTTTTCAGGTCATGTCATGACCCAAATGACCAATTCTCAACATCTTGCGTTTGCCATGGGCCTTATGAGCTTTTGACACCCTGATTTCGGCCTTTTTTGCCAGTCTTACCTCCCACCTATCATGGAACATGTTGTTCGACGATGTACAGGGGTCAAGGTCAGGGTCAAGGTCAACCTAGGTCATCTAAGATAATTGCGTTTTAGGCTAGCTGAATTTACTTTTTTTGAATTTTTTTGACTGCATTTTTGGTAAAAGCTTCTCAGATCATGATTTCATGTAATATGGACCCAAAAACAATCGGTGCACACATCAGTATACACACAGACACACACAGACATACAAACACATATAATTGACCTTGACCTAACTTGACCTGAAATGACCTCAGCAGCAAAGTTCTGGTCGGGTAGTGTGACAAAGAGGTTCTAGCTGGCTTGGCACCAGAAAACAGCATCGTCATCGGTATTTGATAAGCAGCACACTTGATATCCAACGGTGACCCAAAACAGCAACATTTTTTAGTTTGACCTGACCTGGAAGGTCAATGACTGACCTGAGAAGGTAAAACTGGGTATCATTGGATTCGTCTCTTCCCAAAGAATCTTTTTGGTCTTTACTGCTAAGCTCTATCTCCAACAGGAACGAAATGGCGCGGGGGGGTGGCAACCCCCCCCCCCCATGTGCGTTCTAGGATGGGAAAATGGCATGTGCGGGCGAGGGTTAATATCACGAATATGACAACCTTCTAATCCTCCATTTATTTCACATTTTCTTTTCAAACACCATATTTTTAGTATTCAAGTTGTAGTTTTTTTAGGGGGGGGCAAAAAGATATGTTTGCCCAGAGGTTTTCCGTTTAGGGGGGGCAATTGCCCATTTTGCCCCAACGTAGATCCGCCACTGAAAATATAGATAACATTCTTATAAAACAAATTCAAATATGGCGGCCGTTGCGCTAGGCTCCGCCCCCGACTCCGCCCCTTCGTGTGACGTCATCTGTGCACTTGGACACACAGGGAGATAGGGGACGACATGGGCCTGTGCGGCACAGTCTGCCGTTGTGATTTTGAGCAAGGCCATATAATTTTGAGAGAATATTACTTGCGTTTAGATTACAACTATCCGACGCAATTTAATATCAGTGTTTCTAGCCCAATATATCCTTCGTTTGATATTTTTAAGGAGGAAAATCATTATTGTTTGAGTTGTACCTGAGCTAAGCAAATATGATCAAGAATCGAAGCCTTGCTGGAAAGTGGGCAATAGGCTTGTTTTCTCTCACATTAATTCTTGTAGTACTTGCTTTTTCAACTCAGAATTGGCTCGCCAGTGACGACCGTTTCTATGGCGCAAAGTTGGAGAAAATGGGATTGTGGGTTCATTGCTTCAGGAGCCTTACTGGCCCAAACGATCCCACGCAGCGTCTGTTCTTCAGTGGCTGTCGCTGGCTGTTTGATACCTACACAACAGGCTATGCTGAGATTCGAAGCCACTTAACACCTCGTAAGTATGAGGTTTATTTTCATTAGCATTAGACTGTGCATCTATTTGCACATAAACCTTTTCATGACATGTATTACAGAAAGTATAGGTAGGTAGGTACCTTCCCAAATTGATTGTATACCTAATGATGGAAATGTATTGATTTTTCAAAGCATGTTTGACTTGCTGAGTGGTTTGCTATTGCATAAATTCTACAACGTGACTTCAATTAATCAGATAAACACCTAAGATGCCTACCTCCTCAGTAAACTTGGTTCATGGCTGTTCTTCAAGCCTGCTCCTGCTCAACTGATTATAATTCTCAAGTATTTTGGGTATGATTTTTTTGAATGCCACATGCACATCTACAAATTACATATTTGTCAAACTGTATTCACTTTTTGTGTCTTTTCAGCATTCTTCATAGCTGTGCAGATGTTCTACACCCTGACTTTCATGTGCACGGCAACAAGCGGAGTTCTGGTTCTGATGCTGATGTTTTGTATCGACGAGGACCGTGAAACGTGCTTCCTGAGAGTGATCGCCACTCTGATGGGACTGTCTGGTGAGCTCTCTGTCAGATACCAAGTTCTTGAATCTTGAATCAGAACATACCAACCAATTTCTCTGACAGAACATGCCAACACATATTTCTTGAATTATGATCACATATTGATAACATTTCACCAGCCATAGTTGAGATTGTCAGTATCTAAGTAACATAGGCTCTACTTTTGATTGGCTTCCTATCTACATATGTTAGTTGTCATAGCCTCGACATAGCCTGGACACACTGGAACATATGACTTACAAAGATTTTAATCAACCCCGTGTTCGCAGTCTCCCGGACGACGAAGATTCTACGTCGTCCGGCCAAAAGAGTTCGATAACCGCGGCCCAGCCCCCCCCCCCCTCCCCCCGACCTCGAACGGGATTGGCCGGACGGCGTAGAATCTTCGTCGTCTGGGAGACTGTGAACGCGGGCAAATTTCATAAACCAGCAACTTCATATTCAAGACATAGACAATTGATTGGCTGGATGAGCTGACACGAATTGGCCGGCTCGCACTGATATCGGGCGTGTTCCATTACAGGCATTTGCGGCACGTTGTCTGTGATCATATTCGGCGCCAACGGTCGCAGCTACGAGTGGACCGCCGACAAACAGCACAACTATCTGTCCTGGAGCTACGGTCTAGGTAGGTGGCAGGTGCCGCTGGCCCGACGGCCCGGCCCCCGTACTGTTTAGGTATCGGGAACGGAGAATGACTCCACTCCACTGCATGTCCTCAGTCCTCTCCCCTGGTGTATGTAGATACATCAGGGTCGGTAGATCCAGTCAGCTGTGTAACTCTTACGTGATATCCTATATCGGACGTAAATGTTTTCTTAGCGCTGATATCAACGTTTTGAAAAGTGGTTAGTGTCAGCACTTCCAGCAGCAGCTTTCCTTGGTCCTGGGAGGTTGCTTTTTTAGTGGGATTCGAACCTACCTTTTGTAAGTTACGCTCAGAACTCTGCTCAATTTTCGCTAAATCCAAGTAAATGCGAAACTCTGCGACATTAGTTTGATTCGCTTGATTGCTCCCTTGTTCAGCGGTTATTCACATTCCCTCTAAAAGCCTGATTGCGCCGCCAGTGACATAGTATCCGTAGGAACTCTGTGGGAGAGAGTGCATGAGCGAAGCAACTGGCTGGCAGGGCAGGCCGACGGAGGCAGCATCGTCGGTTGGGTCGGTCGTTGGCTGCCGTGTGACGTCACGTGACGTCATCAAATGTGGGCGGTGTTATCACTGCTCGCATTCCGTCGTTGCGAACAGGTCGCTGGTGGCCGTCGGCGCTGAAACCGGCGTAAATTTAACAAACTAGCGCAAATGAAAACTATACTATAAATTGTTGACGTAGATATTTTAGACGGTGCGAGGTGTGTAAAGACTGAAGAGTTTTATTCGAGATGATTGTTTCCAGTACGGGTTGAATGATTTGAAAGAGAGCTTAAAAACTATTAATTTGTAAGTCTAGTAAATGATAAAAGGTTTTGACGCTTTTCGCGGAATAGCCGCATAATTTACCTCGCCAGTTAATTACCGTACACAATACCCATAGCGTCGCCTAACTAGTTACATATAACCGGTGTCATTTTTTGTCTTCATCTTCGACTGCATAAAATCCAGCATCTTGCATATTGTACTAACAGGGCAAGAATAGGTATCTCTCAATGATCCTCACCTTAATGCATCGCAGCATTGTAGATAACATGACGCTGCTGTCTTCCATACATCGTTTAGGCTTATATCATAAAGGACACGACCCAGCTGATTTGTACTGATTAGCATCCAGTAACCCTATCGCTTTTCAGATGCGCATGTGGACCATTAACGTTGGCATGTGGCAGACAATGTATTATAATCGAGTATAACATGGTTTTGGTTCTGGGGGTCGAACCCGCGCCGATCGGGTCGCTGGGTCAGCTGCTCAGCTGACGCGTCGGCTGCCCGCCAGGTGTACTGGCCAGCTTCCTGGCCCTGTGCGACATGGCACTATTCCTGGTCGATGCCCGCATCAAGCAGCGTAAACTGAAGGGTCGCGGCTCCACCCGACCGAAAGTCAAGGATACAGAGATATAGTGGCGTTCCGGCCGCCACGGCAGAGGCTAACCATGTGCTGGCACGGTGAGAGGCTAACAGGCGAGGGGCTTGCTTACTAATGATGCTGCTGCCAAGGCGACAAAGGTATTCTGTAACCCATTACCACTGTGTGTAAATGACAATGTGCATGATTAATATGGGCTGTTTGCTAATTGTGTTTCGCTATTGCTAACAATGTAACATGCTTCTTGCTTTGGCTTCATAACCAATTTGGTCCTCAGGTAAACATAAGAGATGTCCCACGATATCTCTTATGCTACTATTCAGTATTCACGTTCACGTACGCACATGGAATCAGTTTTGAATCTTTTACTCACTGAGTCACATACCTACTCATTCACATGCTTACTCACCCACTCACTCACTCACTCACTTATTCACTCGCTTACTTTGTCGTTAATTCATTCACTCACCCTCTGGCACTGACCCCCTCGCTCGTCTAGGCACTCACGTACTTATTCTCTCGTTCCCCCTCACTCACGCACTTTCTCATTTACTCATTCGCACTTAATCACTCACTGACCAGACACCAGCTGACTCTCACTCTCTCCCTTCTTCTTCGCGGCCATTTTTATTCATTCTTCTGTCTCTGCTATCCGATTCCATTTCCCTGTTTCCGGATCTGAGTTTCAGAGGGAAGATGCTCGGCCCCCGTTTCGCCCACTGTGCTATTTTCCCTCACGATGAGTCACAGACTTCTCTATATAGCCACAGACTTTTCTACAGACTTCTCTATATTTAGAGAAGTCTGAACGAGCCCCTCTCGGCTAGATGGTTGATCAGACACCGAATAAATGTCAGTGATTTTAGCCATTCCCTCGTCAGTCTGTCCCCTGTGAGATGTGTCCCATTGTGTGCGAGATGCTTCAATTCGTCTATTCAGCACACGACGCATGTTTCAGCCGTCCTCGCGGCGTTCCTGCAGCTCGTGCTCTGCGTACTGGTCATCAACGAGGTCAGGATCACAAGAAAGAAACACAGTCGCATGATGCCGCCGCAGCAGGCAGCAGAAGTGGATCTGTAATTGATACAGCGCTACCCAGTGGCAATGTGAACAACTTCAGCTGCCGGCAGCGCCACCAGAGGCGCTCGTAATCGTGTTTGTTCTATGGTGAGCATTTGATTTTCAGTTACGTGTACCGTGGTTCACAGGAAGTGATCTGTGAATGTTGTATCGTTTTTATATGAATCTCCCTGAAAAAGTTCTGATCTGGCATTTTTGCTATACTTGCACTTGAAGAAAAGTCATCTATTTACCGGTATCGTAGTTCATTTTATCTTTACGCATCATTGAGGCGGTGTTGGAAGCCTTTTTATTTCATTTTCAATTTTGTACCTCGTTTAGAGGCAGCCAACTTGTTGTAATTTGAAGGCTCGACGTTTTTGTCTCGTTTTCAAATGATGGGCATGCTGTTGTGAACGAGCGTTGTTGTTTGAAGCGCGCCGACCAGTCTTCCGTCCACAGCTGCAGAGCAACTGTCCGTCCAGATAACGAATCTCAGTGTACATTCCGCCGCTTTTTGCACACGTATCCGTCCGCATATGCTGCTCACAAGCATCGCTGAAGGTTGTACTTATCAAAGCTGCGGTGTTTTCGTGAGATGCTGTACCTAATCGGGACGCACTGACGTCTAGCTTAGTACTACTCATACTGATATGTAATGAAGATTAGACGTTTTAGATGCACCTGTTTGAAGGGACAGTCGCGTTATTCATCTCGCATGCGATATGCGTATTTTTCTATCGTATTGTAAGCTGGGATTGACGGCGATATTGCTCCTATTCGGGGCATGTGTTCATCCGCTTGTCTTTGTAAATACATTCCGCTACATTGAAAAACACCTGTATTTGGAAATGAATGTCATGATAATCGTATTCTCGTAGAATGTATATGAACATCGTAAAATGAAAAAAGAAACGAAGACAATGCATAGTGACGAAGTGACACCCTAATTCCTGGTGAACAAAGTTGAGCTACCTATGTTTACGTGCAAAACCAACATTTCGCTCGTTACGGGAATCAGTCACTCTCGTAAAATGGACGAAAACGCGACGGTCAAAGGGGCAGAAAAATGTGGAAATCATAATTCATATTATTTCTAACAGCTATACGCGGGAAAGGAATTTGGGCCAAAAGCAGCCTTAAGCCATAGTATCCCATAAGACATTACAAATCCGATAGGAAACCGCCGCACTGATTAACGTAGAGGCTATCCAGTCCATAAAGCGGGTTCCCTAAAAAATAAAGATATATCAATAATTCAGAATGGTTCACATAGCCCTGACACAAGCTACACTGTCTTCCTTATCGCGCCTCTTTCTCATCGCGTCTGACGTCGACATGGCGGATCAGCAGATCCAGAAAGGCGGGCTCGGGCGCTGGGGGTCCCCGGGCATATACCCCAGTTTTTTTTTTTTGCAAATTCCAAACTCTTTTTGGATTTTGATTCCTTATGCACTGTTGTGCGGTTTAGGACACCTCTTTCCTATAAAGGTGTTCTAACCCATGTTGCAATGCCTGATCCGTAGACCGAGACGTTACAAAACTTCCTCAGGCATCTCCCTTGTCCCTGCCCTCGAGGCGAACAGCGAGTACCGAACAGCTGAAAATACGCTGTGCCGTATGCCCGGGTGTCCTGCGGCACAGTCCGCCTTTCAGGCGACCACGACTCCGCGGATGTGGAGACTGTAGCTATGGCCAGGAACATATCCGCATCCCGAGCAGATGAGGGAAGCTAGCTTTCTATGGATTATTGCAGTCACCAATCGTTTCAAGCGTTACCTGTATTTATCGCGCTGATACGTTACGGCCTCTTTCTGTTTTCACAGACAGTCTTCGAACCCATGATTGTTAAGTGCTTTATTAATGATGTCTGATGAACTTAGTCTGATGAAAAGATATGAACATCACTTTTATTTTGTACGCGGGCGCGGTGCGGCGCACCAGTCGGTGGTCAAGTCGGCCCGAGGTCCGGTCCGTATTCATCCCTCCATTCGATCCACAGCACTGTGGTAGTGCCAATGGAACAAAAAGACCTTTCTCAACAAAGCAAAACAATGACCGATACAGGTAGGTTACGAGCATGAACCGGGTATTGGTGGAAAACGACAGAAGCACTGAGTAGGTAGGTATTGTGGTAGGTAAAGCGCGCCATAAAACGTGGATTGGCAGGTAAGTTGTAAAAAAAAAAAAAACAGGACATGACGAAACAAAGCAGCGACAATAACTGTATCATCTGCAGCGGTCAACCAGCCGTACCCTAAAGCAAGAGTGAGTCAGATTTGAGATTGAATATAGCCTCTCATGTTCAGATCCGCTTGCCCCAATTCAGAATGCGTGAGGAATTCCTGATAATCCTGAAAAGTTAATAATAATCATTTTCCTATAATCCTTGTAGAAAATCCGGCCTATTTAATCCGTAACCATTCGGCTTTTTGCACCTTGATGAATTACGCCAATCAAAAATGCATCTAAGCACGCAGGTCTAGTTATGTCAAATTCTGTGAATCAGCATCTAATTGCATCCAAGGCACATTGTTGACCAGAGTTTCGAACGGTAGTCTTCCCTGACCGTTTTACTGATGAGCGCTCATTTCTATTTGACTTCTAAACTGTAATGCGATTACAATAGGAACAGAATAGGTATAAAGTCTAACGACAATGATATGTGGTTGTCGTTATGTCGATGTTGATGGTGTAATGGTGTCGTTAGAGTTTAGACTATTATTACGTGCAATAAGTATCATTAGCTGTGTAGCCATCCGTGGCCACGCGTTCAACGCTGAAAGTTCACACGTTCACCGTTCAACAGCTCATAGTATGGTTTATTGTATCGCCTATAAAACCCATTACACAGCACTCGTCACTCAATTTAAATATCGTAACAGTCAGTCAATTGCCTATACGTATAGCCGTGTGCTGGAGCCCATGCCCGATTACCCATTAGCTTCGTTGAGCCGCCATGAAGGCCCCATATCAGTCAGCTGGTGCCAGCGGGATACGCCACCAGTTGATACCGGCTGCGTCACTTCATGGCCTCGAGGCCGTCTCTCCCTCCCTCTCCCTCCCTCCCTCTCTTTCTCTACCTCTCTCCCAAGTCCCTTCCCCTCTCTCTTCTCAGCTCTTTTTCCTTTCACTCTCATAGTCATCTGTCTATTTCTTACTGTTTCGTTTTTCTCATTCTTGCTTTTCCAATTGTCGTTGTTTTGTTTTCTTCCATTTCTATCTCCCCTTCTCCTTCAGTGTTCCCAGGACACACCCTTCTCGGAGGTGTTTAGCGTTGACCTCGGTGACGGTGACAAGCCTCAGTCATTGCACAACACTGGGGATGGGTCCGGGGTGGGTGAAGTGGGGAGAGAGCGACCCCCCCCCCCCCCGAGCCCGAGGTGCCGGCGAGACGGCGGGACTGGCTCCCGGCAGACGTGGCTCCGACGTCGCTGAGATCGGTCGCTCCTTCAGCTCTCTCTCCCCGAGATCCGGTCAACATGAGGGTGCTGCTCGTTCTGGCCGGCCTGCTGGCCATCGCCTCCGCACAGAGTAAGTCCGCCGCCGCTCTGCCTCAGCGAACAGTTATAGGTGGAAAGTTGAAAGATGTCAAATACTGAATAGATTAATAGGCATAACATAAACTCAGTTATCTATAGTGATATCTCCCAACTCAAATGGTAACCTTTTCTATTTAAGCATCAAAACCATAGAGCGTTCGTATAATTTCATGTCACTCTATATTTTGTAGTTATTTGGAAGGAACTACGCTAAATATGACTGACAACAATGCAACCGCCCGATATTCACAATTGGTAAATGGGATCTGTCACATATTTACTGCCGACAACTTATACCAACAAAAGCAGTGTTTTTGCAGCCTGTTCATCAGAAACATTTTTAATGTTTTTCATTCTCTTTTTCCATTACCAACTTTAAAATAAATATTTATGTTACGGATAGAAATAGACGATGTCACAATGACCGCTAAAAATGCACCTTTTAATGTGGGAATTACAGTGGGTTCACGCAAATGTATGGTGTCGTAAGGCTTCCATTGCGTGAATGCGTTTAATGACACACTTTATAAACATCGTTCGATCTTGGATGAGATAGTAGAGATCTCATCCATGGCTTGATAATAAAAATAATATAAGTGGTTTTGCTTTGTTTTAACTATATACCTACATACAAAGTTATTCTTTAATCTCCGGTCAAGCTTATAAGCTAACCTTTGAGTGGTGAGCCTAGGCATCGTTTGGGTTGAACCTGAGCGCATAAGGACCTACGAGCATGTCATTTCGGCATATATATTTGTTACCCAAAACATGATATTTGTTGACAATGTGTGTCTGCCGTTGAGCTATGTGTCTAGTCCGTTGGTGACTACATCCTCGACACTATTGTCTGTGCCGTTGGTGACTGCGTCCTCGACAGGGGGCGGCGGTATCGGCGGTCTCCTGCAGAACCTGGCCGGAGGGTTCATCGGTCAGCTGGGCGGTCAGGGTCAGACGCAAGGTCAGGGTCAGCCCCCGGCAGAGGTCGGGGCGCAGGGCAATAACGGCCTCTACCTCCCACCCAGCGCGGCCGGTAAATAACAATAACAGCGCCTCGGGCGCAGCATGTGCTCCAATCTATCTATATTAGCGAGCAGCGACCAACACCTGCGTCCGTCCGTCCGACTGGATCTTCGGCAACTGGAGAGCGCTGGCTCGGAGTCCGTCCCGTCTTCGTCGCGTTATATCCGTTTGGCGAGGCTTGCATGAATACTAGCGGCGCGGTACGCTGATTGGCATGAATGCTCTCCGAGAACATAATTAAAGCTCGTACCTACAGACTGGTTGATTGGATCTGCAGATCTCTCTCCGTTGGCAGCCTGTGGTATCGGGATGAAGGATTCGCATCAGGTGACAATAAACTGGCTGGATTGCTCGAATCTATTTCATATGGCCCTCCATACTCTGGCTTGTTTGGTGGATGCTGCTTCTCCTTATGCATGTAGCACTACTTACTGAGGTGCATGGTTGTTGCGGTTATATACTCAGCTTTGGTTGTGGCTGATGCATGCAAAGATCAGCAATAATTCAGCAATCAGAAACTTTTCTTTGCACTTCTTAAATGCATAGCGCTCTGGTACGGTTGTAATCGCATGATTAACATTGCCTTCCATGTAAATATGTAGGTACTGTATGTATATATTTGTGTTGTACAGTTTGCTATTGTTTCCCTTGCTATTCACGTACTTTCAAGTTGCAACGTCGAGCCATCCTCTTCAAGAGATTACTCGAGTCGTATGAGCTGCCCACCATTGCACATATATCTCTCGTCTGCAGAGACCCCTCAAGTTGAAGCTTTCACTCTTCTCTGATGAGGCTGTAAATATGCATTGCCGTCTGCTCCTTCCTGGTTTTTATGTGCTAGTAGTTCGTGCGCATGACGTGTAAACGACAGTGACGTATCCAGGTAGCTCTCTCGCCACTTTCATTGTGTTCGACTAAAAGAAAAAAACATATTGATTACCTGCAACTAATTTCGTAAGCAACAAATAGTCAAACAAAGGCGCTTCTAGTGAAAACTTTCTTTACCAGCCGTCAATCGATCTCGTGGCATTTATATAAAGCTGGATACGTCACTGTCTGGGCTCACCCCGACCCTGCCAGATTCTGAACCGCCTCCTGGTCGGGGTGGTTACAGGCACCAGCCCGACGGCGGTCCCCGAGCCGACCCGCGGCCCGGCCCAGTGCTTCCCCGGCCAGCGGTTCCAGAAGGGCTGCAACACGTGCACCTGCATCAACGGCAACATCGCCTGCACCGAGCTGGACTGCGAGGACCGTCCGAAGGAGGAGCGCTGCCGCGAGGGCCAGCAGGTGCAGCAGCAGTGCAACACCTGTACCTGTCGCGACGGCCACTTCGAGTGCACCGACCGCTTCTGCCTCGGCAGCGGAGGCAACGGCGGCAGCCAGCAGGTCAACGGGGGCTTTTGTCGCGCCGGCGAGTCCTTCCGTCAGGACTGCAACACCTGTAACTGCGTCAACGGCAGGTTCGCCTGCACGTTCCGCGCTTGTCCCGGAGGTGGCGGCAGTCAGCAGGTGAACGGAGGCTTCTGTCAACCAGGCGAATCTTTCCAGCAGGACTGCAACACCTGCAGCTGCCGCAACGGCAGGTTCGCCTGCACGCGCCGCGCCTGCGGGGAAAGCCAGCTGGTCAACGGAGGCCAGTGCAGAGCCGGGGAGTCCTTCCAGCAAGATTGCAACACTTGCAACTGCATCAACGGTCGATTCGCCTGCACCTTCCGTGCTTGTCCCGGAAACGGTGGAAGCGAACAAGTCAACGGAGGCCAGTGCAGAGCCGGAGAATCATTCCAGCAAGATTGCAACACTTGCAACTGCATCAACGGCAGGTTCGCCTGCACCTTCCGTGCTTGTCCCGGAAACGGTGGAAGCGAGCAAGTCAACGGAGGCCAGTGCAGAGCCGGGGAGTCCTTCCAGCAAGATTGCAACACCTGCAACTGCATCAACGGCAGGTTCGCTTGCACGTTCCGTCTTTGTCCTGGAGGTGGCGGCAGCGAACAGGTAAATGGAGGTTTCTGCCAGGCCGGAGAATCTTTCCAGCAGGACTGTAACAGGTGCAACTGCATCAACGGCAGGTTCGCCTGCACGCGTCGCCTGTGCCCGGGTCAGGGCGGCAGCGGCGGCGGCAGCAGCAGCGGCGGTTTCGGTCAGCTGGGTCCCCTTGGACAGCTCGGTCAGCTGGGACAGCTCTTCGGCGGCCGGTAGACGATCATACCGAGATAGCTGGGTCAGCTCTTCGGCGGCCGGTAGACGCCTCGTACCGAGCTGAGTACTCATTCGGTCAATGACAGATTGGAAGAAGAAACAACATAGAACTGACCACCAGATCGATGAAGATACGCGCGAGTACGGCAGCGTGTGCACTGTGCATCATTCTCACCCCTTCGCCTTGTATGTACAAATGCTCTTGTCTACTAACAAAAACGCTCTGTTGTAAATACTGTTTGCCTGTGTTATGCACGCTCTTAGGGTTTCGCTCGTATATTTCGTCCGGGAATGTAAAATCGTTTTCAATCAGGGAAGCCCAGCGATTCGTATTTAGTTAGCACGGCTATTTCTCGAATATCTTCCTGGTGCGTCGTCGGAAAGTCTCACATTGCTATGATAAGCACATCTCTCATCAAGTATCGAATCGGTTTCCTGTCGTAGCTTTGAAAAAGGTGCTTGCAAATTGGTCGCGATTTCACTTATTCAAGACAGTTGATTGGAGACATGTTTAGCGGAGAGAACTCAGGCGTATGACTGTAATTTCAAAGAGTAGAAAGTCAGATATGCGTGACTTTGCGTCTCTCGCGATTATTTATTCTATTTATTTTGACGTGTGAGTGTGACTGGTTAGAAACTTTATCTTATTTCTGTGTAAAAATACATTTAACACTGCAATATATCCCTGTTGAGTGTTTAGGATCCACGGTAAGCTCCATTACCTCGAAGTGACAAGGGAACCATAACCAACAGAACGTCTCGCAGCCTACAAAGCTACCCACCGTGGTCGGTCACCCAACAGATAACTTCTAACCGAGTCACCCATCAGTGGCGGATCCAGGGGGGGTGGGTGGCAAAATGGGCATTTGCCCCCCCCCCCCCCCAAACGGCATGATTTTAACATTACGCCTATGGACGATGCATGGAAAGAATCGATAAATTTTTATGGTTTGCCCCCCCCCCCCCAAACCTCTGAGCTGGATCCGCCTCTGTCACCCATCCATTTCACGTGTCAGATAGCTGGACCACAGACTACAATTACGAATCATATAAACGGTTTGGCCGTCAAAAGCCTAGAACCTCTGAATCACCGCTTGGTGCAGGGAAGGGGCAGACTACGGGCTATGTCCGGCCGCGGCGCCTTACGCAACTGTTAGCCGGGGGCGGGCCAGGGCCGCGTCAGTTCCATGGGGACCGTGCTCTGAACCAAGGTCACCCAGCCAGCCGGGGTGCCCGCGGCGGTACGTTCCGGGGAGCAGCGGCAGCAGCTGCTGAAATAGGTCACCGGTCCTACTACGGCCTACACATCGACCTGCTCCGGTCGATGTGTAGGCACATCGACCTGCTCCGGGCGCAGCAGACCCGCCCGGTACTCTGCCGTGTGGCTCTCAGTGCCCTCTGGCTCCCTATGCAGAACGACCTTCCTCCGACGTCGTGTGAAGGTTGAAGGGACCGCGGACATGCGATGCCTTCAGTTGGGTTGTTTGTCTGAGTGTTATTTCCGTGTCCTATCACAGGATGTCGTGCAGTTACGATCGGGTGGATACGGAGACACGAGAGCCTGTCGTGAATGATTTTCGTTTGCGTCCGTTGAAAGAGTCGCCATTCGCAATGGCTGGTAGCCGGTAGGTATCATTAACGTGATACAGCACTATTGTCGCTGATTGATTTCATTTCAGTGCCCAAAATTGCTACATAACGTGCGCCATACCCATTAACTTATTAGCCTAAATCACGAAAATAAGATATTTGGCATTTGTTGTCCGACCGTTTTGCTTAAAAGTTTAACACGTTGAGTAATAGGTATCATTTACCCAAAGTAACTGCGTTACTTTTTGTCCACCGTTTTGTTATTAATGGGCTGTCCGAGTCCGGTAAGAACAACACGCGACTATATACGTGACCTCCCGTCATCGGCTCCGAACTGCCGAGTCACGGCACTCTGCCCTCGGTCGGTTAGACCGAGACTGTCTGTGACGACAGGTGGTTCAGTGTGGGAAGGGGAGGGGGGAGGGCCCGAGCCGGCTGGTCAGGGTCGATTGGCTATATCTGCGGTCACGCCCACTCTCCTACCAGCCCGTCCCGAGGTGTAACACATGTAGACACACAACACTAGCGTCATAGAGGAGTTCCTTCTTCGCCTGTCATCGCCACCTGTCACCTGACATTGGTGACAGTTGAGAGCGATTGGTGACAACTCACATCAGTAAGCATGAGCGTATCCCGGTGCTGACTGGTCCCACCGACTGCCGCCCCAAGCGGTAACCGTCTCGCTCGTTTCAGACGAGGGAATTGGACCGGCGTGCTTTCCCGTATACGACTGTCCTGAGAGCTGCCTGCGGCCCACCGGACCAAGAGGATGCCCCGAGTGTGGGCCCTGCAACAATGGAGGTGCCAACATCAGTCCCTCCTGTCCGGAGATCACATGCTCGGCCCAATGTCCGAGAATCATCGGAGCGACCGGCTGTCCTGAATGTGGCCCCTGCAACAATGGAGGTGCAAATATCAGACCCTCCTGCCCGGAAATCAAATGTTCAGCTCAATGTCCCAGGATCATCGGAGCGACCGGCTGTCCTGAATGTGGCCCGTGTAACAATGGAGGTGCAAACATCAGTCCCTCCTGCCCGGAGGTTAGATGCTCGGCCCAATGTCCAAGGATCATCGGAGCCAACGGCTGTCCTGAATGTGGCCCGTGCAACAATGGAGGTGCCAACATCAGTCCCTCCTGCCCGGAGGTTAGATGTTCGGCCCAATGTCCGAGGATCATCGGGGCCACTGGTTGTCCTGAATGTGGCCCCTGTTCGGGAGAGAGCGGCGGTGGAATCGGTCCGGCCTGTCCGCCGCCCCCGCAGTGTCCCCGCCGGCCCGGCTGCAGCCTGGTGCCGGACGCCAGCGGGTGCCAGAGGTGCAGCTGCGACATCGGGCCCGTCACCGGCATCTCCACGGGCTACTGAAGGCTATAGCTTTCGACAGCGGCCACTATAACGCTGCCTGTGTCAGCAGTGACACAGCCAAGTGCCAAGACCAGCTACTGACGAGGAAGCCCACGTGAATATACGTTTAGAACTGAGGCCAACACCGTGACCAGTTGGAGGAAGACATGGAAGAAAAAGGCGGTGCCGTGGTGATGAGGCATTAACCGTGATCACAAGTCGTATCAATATCATTTCCTCAAAGTGACAACGTTAGGGACATTAACTATTTATTAGGCTGTATCATGAATGAGATAATTGTCTCATCCATGGCTGTATCACCGGGTGTAACGGGCATTTGTGCGAAAGAAACTTACTAATTAGAAGGTAGTCCCGACTTCGAACGAGAAAGAAAACTAATGTTCTGTTGGGTTGAATGCTAGCGAGTAAGGATAGTTTGATAGACAGAAAGATGGCTTTTATTTCAGCCAATTCATTTTGTATTGGACCATTGTGACAATACATACGGTTGCTGATATATAAATAGTCTGCCTTGCGACAGATGTCCGGATGATTTATAAAACGAAATACTTCAATCGGCAAATTACCGACCACTGATAACGTCTACCGATAGCACCAATTCATGAGAATAAGAAGGTGATTAGGAAGATGATTAGATGATTAGTTTGTTTTATAATCACGGAATGGGTAAGTTAGGTACTAGGTAGTACCTAACCGTGACACAAATGACGCTCGTTCTTCCTCAAGTAATGATCACTACTTGTACCAAGAAAGACAGGACTGCTCGACAACGAAATCGGACGATGGTCATCAACCATTTTCAGCTCAACAAACATGAAAGCTAACAAATGGCACACAAAATTTTATCCGATAAAGAAGAATCAAACAATGCATTATAATGACATTAAGTTTCTGGTGCATCTACACGATTCTGGTTTCCATTAGAAAACGTAGGTAGGCATATCGATTTCACTTCTGTGACTAATAACGCTTAGTTTCCTCGTCCATAAACATAAACTCCACCTAAAAAGACAGCAAGCATCGAGACAAATAAGCAATTTGCACATTTCAAGTCCACTTTGTCGCTGCCCAGGGCCACCGTAACCTCTCTGTGTATCTATGGCCTTCCTTTCAGGGCGGTGTCGGCGTCCGTGGTACCCGTCCAACTACAGGTGCCCCCCGGACTGCGGGGTGCGAGAGGACAGCAGGGGCTGTATCCAATGCACCTGTGGAGCTGAGCCAATCAAACCGCCTCGTACGTACACATACACGCGCAACTACGCCGCCAACACAATTATTCTGTAATTTGATCATTGCAATGTTATTATCGTATTAAGGTTAAATTATTATCTTTATTAGGTACAGGCAAAATATAGTCAGATATTAAGATTCCAAACGCAAAATGTGATGTATAGGTAAGCGGACTCCGTGAAAAATTGTCCAGCTTATGATCCGTCATGCAGCAAACGATTAATACGCTGAACGAAGATTGAACGGTGTAAAATGTAAATGACACAGCGCTGGCCCATTCAGGCGAGTGCCGTCGGCCGTGGTACCCCTCCGACTACAGATGTCCCGCCGACTGCGGGGAAAGACGGGACAACAAGGGCTGCATTCAGTGCACCTGCGGAGCCACGCCCCAAAAGCCAATCGGACCGCCAGGTAAATAAATGAGAGCAATGATAATTAGCAATCACCTGAAGAGTTGGACTGAGGAAAGCAAGTGTCAACAACGACACTTTAGCTTCTCAGCAGTCAGCAGTACAATATTCCTTTCACCTAGATACATTCCTTTCCAGATACGTCCCTTTCATTTTTTCAACTGTGAAATCATTTTAAGTTCTGTTATTTAATAATAATCGACCATCCTCCATTTCAGCGGCATTTCATAGAATATTTGTTTTTGCATTTTATCAGAACGTGTATGAACGATGGTGGTGGCATCCCCAGGATTACCACAAGCAAGGTTCCAAAGATAACCGGTCTGTGTTTTTTTCAGCTCCAGCTCCGTGTACCGCGCCGTGGTACCCGTCCGACTACAGGTGTCCTGCCGACTGCGGAAAGCGACAGGACAACAGGGGCTGCATCCAGTGCACGTGCGGAGCGACACCTCAGAGGCCGGGACCAGTGGGGCCGCCGGGTATGTACGCATGTAAACGACATGTTGCAAGTCTCGACGCTGTCACATAATCTTCTTTTTCCTTTATTTTAATACGCACAACCTTGAAATGTTTATCTTTATATAACCCAGTACCCACCAGTCATTGTACTGCGCTTTCATCGTTGACTTGTTTGCCTAGATACATATAGACAGACTGCAATAAGAGATAAGAGACTAACACGTCCCAGACTCCCAATATCCGGAGAAGACTGCATTACCGCATAGAAAGGTATCATTCAAGCGACTCAAACACGAGTCCACCCACACCATTGATCCTTCACTCAATCATACAGAAAAGAGACACTTTCGCCAAGTGGTTTTATCACTCCAACTTCCAAGCCAGTCACTCCCGCATCATGTGAAGTTTCATCAGCTGCCTCTCCTGTGACAGTGTCTGTTCTTGTGACTGACAGTTCTCACTCCAGTTCCAGCTCAATGTACCGCGCCGTGGTACCCGTCCGACTACAGGTGTCCTGCCGACTGCGGAAAGCGACAGGATAACAGGGGCTGCATCCAGTGCACGTGCGGGGCCACGCCTCAGAGGCCGGGGGGAGTGGGGCCGCCGGTTCCTCCGGGACCGTCCGACCGCTGCTACCCGCCGAGCTACCTGTGTCCGGCCTTCTGCAACAGCCTAGTCACCGGTGACGGCTGCCTGAGCTGCGCGTGCGGTGCCGAGCCGCAGCCGCCGCCGCCGCCACCCCAGTGCCCGCCGCTCGGCTGTCCCCCTGCCTGTGTCATTCCGTCCGGCCCGGGCGGCGGCTGTCCCCGGTGCGGCCCCTGCGGCGGTGGAATCGGTCCGGCCTGTCCGCCGCCACCGCAGTGTCCGCGCCGGCCCGGCTGCAACCTGGTGCCGGACGCCAACGGGTGCCAGAGGTGCAGCTGCACACCCATCCGTACCCCCACGGGCTATAACGGATAAATGGAACGACCCGCCGTCGTCGGTATACTGTTTACATCCATACCAGACCGACTTTCCATTGATAAGAACGATCAGCGCGACACTGAACGACTGTGTGTAGTGTCTCGTCCGTGATATGATGGGCATTATCATTCTAGGTAGATATTTCTTCTTGGATATCTAGAATAGACACGCGTCGATTGTGAAGGAATCGAATGATTTTCAGAATAAACATGTTGGTGGTGATAGAACAGCGTATGTACAATGGTTCTGGGTTATTTGTCTAGAAATACATATCTTGAAGAATATCCTTCGCTTTGGATCATCTCTTATCAACGAATGAGCATCATACGATTAACCCGCGCCAAGCCGAGAAGGGTTGAAGGGTGTTCCGGCACCACTTGTATTTTTTCGCAGATATCGAAAAAACGGCCGCCGTTTTTGATACACCTGTCCATGCATCTTTTCCACACGTTTGAAAATTTCAGACTCAGGTACTAAAAGGTCAGACCACCAGGTCACTTAAAGTGGCCTCACCTCACAAAAAGTTAGAATCCTCGTCATAGCTTCACCGAATGAACGATCGCCTTGAAACTTTCAGCCATTGATAAGAGTAACAGTATCTATAAAATATTCTCTAACTTTGATATCGGTGACCTACGGTCAGATCAATTCTGCGCATTCTCCAATTTAAGCCATTGGGAGAAAAATCAAAGGATCTTCTTTTGGTCAAACGTCATTCTAAACACTCAAACATTGGGTTAGAGGTAAAATTGACACGCTGAACCGAAAAATTGCACCCGTGACCCTTCCTTATATTCCTGAGGTTATCTCAGGCCACGAAAGATTCCAAGCAGTTTTTAGGCAATAACTTTCGGCAAAAACATCTTAGAGCAATGAAAACACCAATGTTTTCAGGCCGGCGATACGGATCGACTGGTATGTCACATAACCTTTTTCGGTCAGGTCATGAGGTTGACCTGAGGTCAAATTTTCCAAATTACCTGAGGTAAATTACAGTTCATTTGGCGCCTCTCGACGAGAGGGACACGATGCTGGCAAAAGCAAATAACGTAACTCTCTTGAGTCCAAAGATGTCGAAGAAAAACATTTTTCGTAAAAACCGCCATTTTCTAGTGTTTTTTTTTCCTCTGGAGGCTAAACCGTTGACCTGAGGTCAAATTTTGGTACACATTCCAGAAAGATTAAAAGGGCTATCGAATGCGCTTTTCCGCGGCACTGTATAGCTCTTTTTGCTTCCCGAGTTTTGCGCCGGTGTTTCGAAAAATGTTGAAATATGCAACACGTTTCCTATGATGACCTCTGCCCTCTGGTGACCTGACCTGGCTTTGAACTGGCCTAAAAAATTACTAGCGTTTTCGCCATAATCTTTAACGTTCTTTTGAATGCCGCTTACTTTGTGTCCTCACGTGGGCCACGAGCCGAGTTAGACGGGGAGTTCAGACACCCGGCGCGGGTTAGAAGACATGAAGAGGACAGAAAGAGCAAGAGAAGAGAGAGAGAAAGAGAGAGAGAGAGAGAGAGAGAGAGAGAGAGAGAGAGAGAGCCAAAGGAAGCAGGATGGAAAGAGGAGTTGCTAAACAGGTCCCGACGTCCAGCCAACCGACTAATACACTTTCATTTTCTTTTCTTTGGTTGTTGTTAACGAAACAAGACATCGCCGAAAACGGCGACTAATCATCAAATGATGAAGCTCGAATGCATAGTCTCGGCATGTCTCGGTAATGACCAAATGCGACTAATAACAATGGTCCGATCCCGCCATTTTCATAAACGTATATTTCTCACAATAGAGATATCCCTAAACGGATCTTTACCTTTTCTACTTTTGTACTTCTGCTACAAGAATAAATGTAACGTATGATATATAGTTATCCCGCCGCATTAAGCGACATATGACGTCATACATGGAACAAGACTAAGCAACCTTTCGAGGTTTCACAACATTTTTATCTCGGATTTTTTTGCACAGGTCACCTGAAGTCAGACCACTCACATGACCTCAATGTCTTCACCATTATAAGTCGATGGAAGAACTATGGAAACTGTTCAAGCACCGGAAACGATCTTAATTCACCTTACGCCGTGATCTTATAGGGGAAGCGGGGTAACACCGCCCCCCTAAGCTTTTCGCCAAAATGAGAGAATATGTGTGAAGTCTCTTGGTAGTTATTGTCTTGGTTACAATATTTAAACATTTTCTCACGTGTTTTAGGTACTTATTTTGCATGCTCCTAAAAGGTTTTCATGTATCACGACTTTTAAAAATACCTTGCATATTTGCCGCCTAGGTACAAATTGTGTGGGTAACCCCGCCACCGGTATTGATGTTAACCCAACCCATTCCTAAGAAAGCTTTTAATTGTTCAGAGATCGCGTGCGATGAGTTTCCTGTCGGTAAGTGGTAATTTTTGCAAATAATCGGTAATGGACACCTAAATAGGTATAGGTTCATCAGCTTTTTGCCAGTTTTATACAGCTGGTAAGTGCTTGGTCGGGATGCATGAAAAATATAAAGTAAAAAATCAAATAAGCTGCTTATTCCCGACTTAGGAACATCTACGAACATAAAAAAGCGTCTCTTTGGCAGTTTCATCACTTATCACGCTACGAACAGGAAACACCGCAACCTCAATCGGGGTAACACCGCCACGGGGTGGCGGTGTTCCCCAATAAGTGATCACAAGCAAAAATCGCCAGCGGCAAGAATGTACTACACGGTTCAGGCAAACTTATCTTACTGGACAAAGCCGATCAATTATTTTTCGATGTAATCAAGTAAATCAAAATGAGTCTCTTCTTAAAGACATTCAAAAGTGCTCCCAACTCATCGAATTTTTATAAGAGAATGTCCATTTTTCTTTAAATGCCCACATTAAGCTTCGATTACACTGAATCACCGGAACACAAATCAGAAGACGCTTACCTTCGTGCGGTTAATAGGAAATAACGGATTTTTACACTTCACATTGCATACTTTCGCCGCCAGATGGGGTGGCGGTGTTTCCCACAGTGGCGGTGTTCCCCCCGCTTCCCCTACACTCCTTGCAAGATCCAATGCTTGCATATTGCATTGTTGACCTTACGTGATTTCATGAAAGTATATTACGAAGGTCATCGGAGTTTTCCATCAATAGCTATCGATCAAATTGAGCTAGCGAGTTAGGGAAGCCACCAATGGACTCAGAAAATCCTGCCAACTCGACCGATATGCAGTACGCCCTCCTCCGACGAGCTTCGTGAGCTGAATGGCATTGACCTGACTTTGAGCAACGGTCAAGCTCAACAGTCAACCAAAACCCTAAGTAAACCTCACTTCACCCAAATCAGATGTAACCAGTAACCACAACGCTACTCGCCGACTGAGCGTCAAATTTCCCTTATTTATGTCGCTCCCTAGTTTGCCTCGCTTTCACACAAACCGCCCTTTGTTTTCACCAACAGGGTGGAAGTAAGATCACCGGCCAGGCAGCTCATACCTACAGAGCGCGCGCCGTGCCTGGAGACAACAACATTCCCCAGCCGTCACCGCTGTCAGTTGCAGACAGTGCAGATATCCCGTCTGTCTTCTTTTTACACACTGCGGAAACGACTTGTAAAGCTTTAGGTCACCTTGAGTCTGGGAAGAAGGGGTCCCCTGTTTTTATCGTGATTAGGCCCGCACAACCTGCCCGCTCCTTTGCAAATAAGTCGCATTGTTCGCAGCGGCAAACAAGTCACTGAGATAGTAAGACTCGAGTCGCACAACTGCTATTACCGGATGAACTTGAACTTGTTTGCATTGATACCGAAATTCCCACGCCTTTGTGTGGATGTTGTATTACGCAAAACTATATTTTGGGTAGTAAAGTATCCCCGCATGAGTAAATAACTCATTTGTAGGTAACTGGTAGGCGCACTTCCAGCAAATACCAATGCATTTATTTCTTCTCTACCCTCACTTCAAAATGCAACACTCATTGGATGCCTGTATATTTTAGAATACCCAGTACCTAAACACAGCAAAGTTCAGAACCACGAGTATCTCGAACAGAAACCGGTGTATTTAATCACGCTTCTACAAGTGCAAAAGGCAAGACTCGCCTGATAGGACTACTGACCGGGCGAATAGAACCCACCACACAACTCAGCAGTAGGTGCTCGCTCGACTCCATTGTGACGTGGTACAGGGTGACACAAAAAAGCGGTCATCACCAAAATTTGAATAACTTCGGAAGTTTTATTCAGATCATCACCAAACTTCGGCCACTTTAGGTCACACCTATGTAGCAGACATCCACCAAGTTTCAAGTCTTCTCGACGAATAGTTTTAGTACAGTGTGTGTTTTACGGACGCTCCACAATGTGCTCCAGGTGAGCGCCCCGGCGCTGCAGGGCGTAGGCACACCTGCATCCGGCGGGCAAAGTTGCCGATAACCCGATAAGAATAACGTTTCAGGGGTAGCACACCCCCTGAGCACCGTCTCCAGAGGCCATTGCACTCTGTAAAGTGCACAGCCAGCGGATTATCGGCAACTTTGCCCGCCGGATGCAGGTGTGCCTACGCCCTGCAGCGCCGTGGCGCTCACCTGGAGCACATTGTGGAGCGTCAGTAAAACACACACTGTACTAAAAGTATTCGTAGTGAAGACTTGAAACTTGGTGGATGTATGCTACATAGGTGTGACCTTAAGTGGCCGAAGTTTGGTGATGATCTGAATAAAGCTTCCGAAGTTATTCGAAATTTGGTGATGACCGTTTTTTTGTGTCACCCTGTACACGGTACACGTGCAGATAATTATCGATTGACGGTTCCTCAAATGTTCCAACGATACTGAGTGAGCGGGCCGACAAATAGACGACTAAGAACAAGGGTAGACATGTGCATTGCTCAATAGAGGTATTATGCTAATAAATAACCGCGACGAGTTTCACCCGCCATCCATAGCTTAGACTTTACATTTGACTGAGGCGAGTTTTTTTTTTTTTTTACTTTTATTGCGTCCCACTGGCTGTCACACTTTTCTGCTTTTATCATAAAATTTTGCCGATCTTACGTTTGCGCGCAAATGTAAAAATCCGCAGGGAACATCAGTCTGAAGACACACGGTTTCACACAAGCATGCCCAGCCACGAAATTTTCACACTGAAATAAAACATCAACCAGAGAATGACAACAATATACATGCAGTCAATCAAACTATATCGCAAGAAACATGATACCAAAACAAAATACTAACAATGCCAACGACAAATGCACGATCACCCCAACACTCGAACAAAACGAATGTCCCAAGTTGTCCACTCTAGTGCACTCTCAATCACCTCTCGCGGTTCATCTGTCCGGCTCAACCCACCCAGGCCGGCACAGTCGGGTCGGGAGGTCCCTGTCGAGTTGCCCTGGTCTTCCTCACACCCACGACGCGGTCATGGGAGCTCGGGCCAGCCCGCTAGCTGTCCACCGGGCGGCCCTCGCATTCTGGTCCTGCGAGATACCTGACCCGACACCGACGGGCCACCGGCAGGGCACTGAGGGATCACCAGCGGAGTAGAAATTCGAGCTGAGCAGCTGGTCCGAGTTGACACGTACTCGCGGCACATAGCGCCGCCGCGGCGCGGTACGAGCTATCACAGGAGACGGCGGCCGGCGCGCGCGGAGCGACCCTACAGCTCGTCGTGGCGCGAGCCGTGCTGGTGGCCTGACGACGGTTTGATGTAGACGCCCTCCTGGACGCGCCACTTGCACGTGGTGTCGGGGGAGCTCATGCCCACCACCTCCATCTGGCCAGCGATGGGACGGCCGAAACTGTGGCCCGACATGGACAGATAGCTGCACAGACACACACCGGTCGGCCAGAGGTCAGTACATATCAGTACATACATACCTACGGTCAGTACATACACAGAGACATCAGACAGGTAGCTGCACAGACACACACCGGTCGGCCAGAGGTCAGTACATACCTACGGTCAGTACATACACAGAGACATCAGACAGGTAGCTGCACAGACACACACCGGCCCACCAGACGTCAGTACATATCAGTACATACCTACGGTCAGTACATACACAGAGACATCAGACAGGTAGCTGCACAGACACACACCGGTCGGCCAGAGGTCAGTACATACCTACGGTCAGTACATACACAGAGACATCAGACAGGTAGCTGCACAGACACACACCGGCCCACCAGACGTCAGTACATATCAGTACATACCTACGGTCAGTACATACACAGAGACATCAGACAGGTAGCTGCACAGACACACCGGTCGGCCAGAGGTCAGTACATATCAGTACATACCTACGGTCAGTACATACATAGAGACATCAGACAGGTAGTTGTACAGACACACACCGGTCGGCCAGAGGTGAGTACAGGGTGTCTCAAAAGTTCGCTTACACATTTCCCATGTCAATAAAGCATATAAGAACCGGCCAAAAATCTAAGGTTTTGGTGTCCGTGTGTACACTAGACAAATATGCATGCTTTGACAACTGATTCGGAAGGTTGGAAACCAAACCCTTTGCTGTATCTCCAAAAATATTTGCCCATACCGATTTTCGTCACTCCGTCAGTTGCCGGAGGCTGATAAAAGGTTACCAGCTTTCAAGCTCTTGTAGGGGAATCCCCCGCAGTTTCTGCGTCGGATTTAGGTTTGACGAGCTCCCCGGCAACATCCGCTTCTCCCTGAAAGCCGATAGCTTGCATCGACACCATCCGTGAGTATTTTGTAGGTCTTCTCTGGCGCTAACTCCTTCATGAATGACTGGCGCCGACCTCCCAAGCACCATTTTCCTTTTCAAAACAACCCCATTCCTGAACAAATGGGAAGTGCCAGGGGCAAATTTTTCGCAGCATATCGTAGCAGAATGTGTCGGCCATCTGTTTCTTAGACACATTTTGCAAAATTTGCAAATCCCGAACGCTCGTCATTCCCAATGCCAAGACCTTCGCTGGGTTCCGGAGTGTTTTCCTCAGGAGAGGTTCTGCTTCGTAAACGGCCAAAACCTGTCCATCGTGCGGTTTTGTCCGGATTTTGTGTGTAAAAGAAAGCTATTTGCTCCAGATCTGCCTCTTGAAACTTCGTTAGATAAAACTTTACATTAATTGACACTTTTGGAGGGTCACTTGTCCTCGGCATTGACGATTTTCGCATTATTTTCCCTCAAAATTTAGCGTTATAGATATTATAAACAATTTTAAATGATATTTTGTCTTTATTTTATGATGACTTGCAATTTTTGAAACTGGGTAACCTCTGTCTGTGAGCTTCTAGTCAGTTTTCAATAGTTAGGACTGCATTTTCAGCTGCTTTCCGGAGCACGAGTCTGCTGCGGTACAAGGGTCGTTCAAAGCGCTGTTAGTCTCGCATGGTTTTGTCCTTCAAAAATTTTAGCCACCGTTTTTATTAGATGACCATCATGTTGTACTCATCCTCGCCGACACTTTGCCATGTGTCATTTCCGACCTAACCATTCCCATTACTCGTGAAGCAGAGAGTTTCTCAGCCGACCCGAGTATGCGACCTCCATTTTCATGCCTGATCCATGGTCAGAGGTGAACCCTTTTTGTGTGCTCATGAAGGGTCGAATGCGCTTGAAAACAATGAAGCTGCTTGAGGAAGGTTGTTACCAATGCCCATGCAAAATTTCGACTGTTAATTTCATGTTGATTCAGAATTATTGACAAAAAAGCATGGCTGGTACCTGTAAGCGAACTTTTGAGACACCCTGTACATACTACATACCGCGGCCTGACAGGCTATCACAGCCGCAGTGGTGGTATTGAGTTGTTAGGGTGGACCGAAAGAAGACAAAAATGTTACATAATACACACACAATTATCCTTTCAGATTTTACATACAATAGTTATGTGACATAACTATGTCCAAGGCCACTATCGCTTCCAAAGTGGCCTCGTAAACAAAATCCGGTCTGATTACTGCAGTGCAGCCCGGTAAACAGAATCCGGTTTCAATTATCGATAGCGCAATACGTCAAACGTGACAGCCACTTATCCACCATCACAGTAATGACAACGGCCTGTTGCTACCCAGCCGAACAATAGGTGCAACAGGAGGGAAGCTAGGAGAGGAGACCGGACTAAGCTCAGTCACCCGTCAACGGCATTCAAGCGGCTTTGATGATGATGAAAAAAAAAACGAAATGATCAACAAAAAAATAATCATCCGCAGCTTTGCCTTTATAGGTGCCGGTGAATTCAATGAGTTTGAGAATAATTGTAATATTCGGGGACATGCAAATTTACATATGACGGTCAGATTTAAGTAAACAACGAAAAAGCCTCTCTAGTAAAAGTTCCATTTATATTTCATCAACACTCGTCTACGTCCGCGAATCTAATTCATATGTATGTGATTTTATGTGATCCCGCATAATTCTCAAGAACCAAATTCGTGTATGCTGAATAAAACTACCCGGATGTTCGATGCCGGGACTATGCACAGACATATGGAGACCGAAAAGTCCCGATATCGATTTTCTAATATCCAGCCAAGAGACCAATATTTTCCAAACAATGTTATGCAAAGAATATTGAACCATTCAACTCCTTCGTAACACCGGTCTTAGGTAACCGAACATCCCCCAAACCTGACCTGGTCGGTACGATGCGCTTCGGTTTCCAATCACCCAGCTGCAACGGAATTCGCCATCACTTACCAAGTACGAACAACTAGTATATCTAGTAGGCTGGCCAGTCACTATTCTTATGCTGGCGGGTTGGATAGCCGGGACAGGCAACAGAAGGCATTCAGTGTTTTTGTACCAATGACAGCCTGGCCAGGACCAGAGCTTTCCTCAGCTTGTCACAAAGCCATCAGATAATGGAGATAATCGAACTAGCGACACCCAAGGATTACAGAAATCAGGACAGGTCAGACCCAGCATGAGAGTTGGTCAGGCTGGGAGCGGCTGCTGTCGGGCCGTCGGCATCACATAGGTACACCACACGCTCTCAATGGACGCCAGCAGCGCCGGGGTACTCACGCGCCCGTGTCGACGTGTCGCAGCATGACCGAGTCTCCGCGGCGCCACTCGTCGCCCGAGCAGACCAGCTCCCAGTTGTCTCCCGAGTCGCCCTCGCCTACCCGGGACACGGAGGGGTCAGAGGGGCGCTAACAATTAGCGGACAGCACAGGGACAGTGAGGAGAAATAGGAGGAATGATGCCAAGTCGAAGAAGTAAGCTTGATAATCGATGCGACAGGAAGATTCGACGAGAAATTAGCCGCGATAGAAGAAGTTAGCTCGTACTAAAGCGTGATTCTTTTCACAAAACTCCACAGTCCACATGGTATCCAGCGAACGCTACGGTAGCATCACTGAAAGCCAGCACATATGTAATCTACATACAGGCTGCCTATAATACTCACCTTTGTTTCCAAAGGCCGATATCTCCTGGTTTCTTGACAAAGGCGACGAGAAGTGGTGCGAGTGTAGGAACTTCTTAGTGGTCAGGTGCTGCAGTCGCAACCTCGTGCCGCATTCCAGCGGCTCACTGAAGAACAGAAAAGAAAGAAAGTTACCCCATCTTAAACAACAGAATCTGCAGATGATATTCACGAAGAAAGCTCCCGTCAGCTAGCACCGCCGCACAAATGATCCTAGCAGTTGAACACTGAAAAATCGTCCAAAATGGCGACAAAAAAAAACACACACACACACAAACACAGATCCAAAATCAGCAGCATAACACACCGCCACCAGGCCGCTCAGGCACGTGGGCTGCAAGAGCTCCTGGTCACCGATTCATTGGTGACGGACAGCGGAAAAAACTAGCCGTCTTCCGGACGACAGACGCTATAGGCGCCATCAGTCCCCCCCCCCCCCCCCCACACCTTCCGACGGCGTCTGGACCACTCACCCGCGCTCGCAGTGTTTGCCGGTGGGGCCCATGATGGCCCAGTGGCTGTTGACATCATCCTGGTCCTCCACGCCGGTGACACTCTGCTGGCCGCTGCCGGAGCCGTACTTGACGTCGTGTGAGTGCAGCCGCGACTTGTACGCGATGTTCATCAGCTTCACCACCGAGCCGCACGTCACATCGTCCACTGTGATGCTGCCTGATGTTCCGTGAGATACAAATGAGAGATCAGTAACAGATAACGTGAGTCAAAAGAGTCTAATGAAAACATTATAACAAACAGTCACCACACCAGAAGGGATAAAAGGTGATATTAGGTATGTGGTGTTTCAAGGTAGGTTTAGGCAACTAAATTCAATACAAATATTGTGATAAAACAAATTAAGAGAAATATTTAGTTTTGGTGCTTTACATCAGACACTTCACTAAAGCCAGAGGTAACTGCTCACCGCTTTCACACCAAAGACATTTCACTAAAGCCACAGGTAACTACTTACCTTGAGCAGATGACAAACATGATACCAAGAAAAGGATGAAACCATGTCTGCCCTCAGACTTCATGGCAGTAGCTTAATTGCTTCACTTGTACAAATGATTTGTGCCTGGTTTTGCTGAAAAATGAGCCATAAGTTAGTGATTTGGTATTTAGTCAAACAATTTCATCTGGCTTACCCTTGTTTTCAATATTGTTCTGTAATGGGTAAAATATGGATCAAAATTTACTTTGCTGAAATTCATCACAAAAAGTAATGCAGAAGGTCATATTGAATAGAATGCAATATACAGTGAATGACCATATCAAATTCAACAATAAGATATGATCAGTTGACCAAATTTCATCTCAATTTGACTGATGTATAATGAGACCATCAACCTAACTACTGAGCATTATAATGCTGAGCAATGACAAATGGAATCTATGAGCTGCCTACCAACCAGAATTTGGGACAAAGTACCCTAGTTAGTGGATATGAACTCTAAAGCAAGATGTTAAGATACCTTTTGTTGTGCAGATAAAATATTCAATCCCAGCAACTGAAGCTGATGTCCACACAATTTTCAAGGATAAATTTTAATCCTTATTTCATTCTATGTGTTTCAATATCTTAAATCCAAAAATTGATATTCATCAGCTCAGCAAATATAATAAAATGCATTGAGGTGGGGTCACCTGTCCTTGCCTAACCTGACTTAACTCAGCCTAATATAACCCCACCTAAGCTTGCCTAAGCACTAAGCCATCTTAGCCTTAACTAACCTGACCTGACCTAACCTAATCTTATATCTACCTAACATCTAACATCTACCTCTTACAGAAGTCCAGGCTGGGTTGGGCCAGATAAGGTTGGGTTGGGTGTCAGCTCAGGTGACCTCCCTTATGGTGTTTGCTGCTCTAATGAGCATCATTTTTAGATTCAGTACTTTATAAATCATGGAAAGAAGCAAAATTTACCCTTCAAAAACTGTGTTTTTTAACTTTGTGTGTTTTTGTGTTTCATAAATCAGAGATTAAGCTTCTCATAAATGACATCCAAGGCCCAAGCAACAGCAAGTCAGCCAAGATGGATTTAAAACTACAGAATAATTTGACTCATGAAATAGGCCTTTTAGGATAGGTACCTGCCTCAGATCAGAGTAAGTAGCATTCCCCAAATCCATACAGCACAATGGCTGAGCATCCCAACAGTCAGCACCACTGAGGCACAGAGACCTCATTTAAATTGGCATGTTTTATCATGTCAGCATGCATCAATGCATTGTCAAAACTAAGGCAATAAATACCATGTGGTGTCAGGAGAAATAGGCAACACACAGGCCAGCGGCCGTCATGGTGTGAACACTTGCGGGAGTTTAAGAAGGATTTCAATTTATAAAATAGTGTAAGACAAAGAACCTATATTTTTCATAAAGTATTCATGAAACTTACAAGAATACCCCAAAATAATATATCTATTCAAGATATCTATCAGAAAATTTGCCCTATTCATGCGATAAAGCTAACAAACCTGAACACACGGCAGGTATTCTAGTGACCAAAACCAACCTGGACACAGTCAAGACCAGCCATCAATGATGAGGCAAGAGGAGTATCAAGGAGGTTGCTAGTACCAGATCCTGAAGGACACTGGCCTCTCCAAATTTCACAGCTTTTTTTGCAACAATTCCATATTGATATCAATATACAATTGCCAGGAAGGCAAAACAAAATCAACTTTAACTTCAACTTACGCTTTCTGCCAAAATGAAGAAGTGCAAGCTCCACAGCAAGCTCGGCCCTCGGCAGTGACGATGTAAGATGCTATGCTAGCGTGAATTTATTCATACAAATAAGGAAAATCTTATATTCGCTGGTCCTCAGTCAAAATAAATCGCAATTTCGACCTATTTGTCAGCGTGCATGTGCGTGGTGTCCATCGACTGTTTGGCTGAATTGTACAATCATAGCGTGGCTGTGACAAACATGACGACGTAATCAACACGTCCTCGACTTTCATTGGTCCAAAACAAATCAAGTCTTATAATGCATTATGTAACATATATAATTTTTGACAATAATATTGAAAATAAAGGGCCAAAAATGTAATTTACATATGAAAATGCTTGATCAAATTTCCGCTTTCTCGGTTGCTTTAATTTCTTTTATTCTAGAAACACACTTGTTTTTTGTTTGCTTAGGTACATTATTTATTTCATTCATATTTTCACAAAATGCACTTTGATAATGAGGAATACATCAAAATTGATTAATATGATGAAAAGTATTAACAAATTTTCAACAACCCTCCAAATTTGCAAATCATTCTGAAATCATTTTTCAAGGTCACCCATGATTTCACAATGTTTGTAAACATCGCCATGTTGGCTAGGATCGCTGGGATCACCACACACGTTTCACGTTTTCCATTTATTGCTGGTTGAAGAAGATTGAAGTCTGACGTTACTGTGAAGTCTTGTACTCATTCTTTTTGCTTGCTTTAGTGTAAATAAAATAGTTATGATGTTGGAGGAATAATATGAGAATTCAAAGTCCTTTGAAGCAAAGAAAGCAAGGTTTATTTTTCTGAAGTTCAAGCTTAAGTTTGCTTTGAAGATCAAGATGGCTCAAGGATACGATGGAATGCAGATGGATGACCTGGAGGTATGTTCCTTTTACATTTGTAATACACTTATCAACAGTTAGGTATGGTATATAAATGACAGCGATCCCTATGTTCCATCAACAAGTGTGGCAGTCTGTGATGGTTGGTACTGGGACATGAAGTACCTATCCTGCAGCATTGTTGTTATGTGTCAGTGTGCCAGTTGTGCTGTGTTATAGGGCATGAGAGTGTTCATTGTATTGTATGCTACTGAAATGTCCCAATTTTGGGCTGAAGGTACTGCCCACGGCTGAACTAATGTGGGGTTTTACGAATCTCATCAGACAGCTCGACTGATGATTTTTAAATACGGAATGATCCAGGAGTACTTAGCAAAAGATAAACTTGCAGCTGCAAGGATGGCAATACATGTAAGCTACATTCCAAGTTTCATTGTAGTCTGACAAATTGTTCCTAAGATACAGAAGCAAAGCATAACTACAACTAAAACTGCACATTACTTCTGCATTATACTGTACTTGTTGTTGAGTTAGGGCATGCATCTGCTTGGCTCTAGCATCAGTAGGTACCATTGAGACTTTCTTCAATTTAATAGCTAGGTACCTCCCCCTCGCATGTGCATTTTGGACAAAATGATATGTAATTTGTTTGTAAAATGGGCTGATTTCAATTTAAATAATGTTAGCTATTTTTATTCACAACATCAGCAATCATCTAGTCTAAAGTATTTGTGTTATCTGCTTGGACAGATTTTAAAGGTGCTGACATGACATTGTCCATAAATATTTGCTTTTTTCCACAGCCTACTCACATTCCATATGATTGAGAACAGTATCAGTATATCCTGAAACCAGACTGTTTTTATTTGCAAGCTACCAGTTTTGCTTTGCATGGAAGTAACAAAATGCTATTCCTAACCTCTCATGGGTGACAAGGATTGGCACAAATGTTTTTAGTTTTGACATACCTAAGAGGCCAAGAATTCCCAGCCAGCTGACAGCATGCTGATTTATAGAACAGTAGCTGAGCATCACTCAGGTCATGTGCATGGAAAGGATAATGTTCTTACACTCCTTTGCCTTGCTGGTTTCATTGTCTCAAGCATATTTGTACGTTTTTAGGAGCCTGCTTGTACAACCATGTTGAATGTTCAACTTCTTGGCTTGCTTCAACATATAATGCCTGTATGTACATTGTACATACCAGCTTGGCTGACTTAGAATTATTGTCACCAGCATCCATGAACAATCCCAATGATACTGGCGTAAAAGGCATGTGACCATTTATTATGAGGCTTAGGTATGTGAAAATGTGAAAATTAATTGATTTGCAAGGCTTGAACTGTGTTTTGAATAATCCACTTTGAGTTGCTTATCAGCTGCAGTGTCTAGGTAACTGCCCAAAAGGTGGGGGATTTGGTGTAATTTATTTAGTACATCTTGCTCAAGCTTCTTTGAGGGGCATCATGGCTTTTGTACAATGGACTGAGTTTTGTTAAGTATTGTATTAGTTTTGTATTGAAAATTATATGGAAAAGCATCCAGATGTAAGTTATTTTGAACCAGATTTAATTAAGACATAATAATAGCAATTTGAAATCAAGCACTTTTATTTCATATGTAAGTTTGGTGTTGGATTTTTCAAAATAGTGTTCAGGCTTCTTAACCTCTATCCATAAGCCTGTTACTGTGGCTCTTATTGCTGCTCCCTGCTCCTAATTTTGATGTAAGTGTATAAATGTATAAGTGATGCATTGTGGAAAGTAACAGGTGATTCATTGATTTTTTCTGCTATAATTTTTATTATTCCCTTAGTGGTGGCTGTTGTGAGGTCAGACTTCTGATTGGTGTGTTCATTTAAAGTGAGGCTGCCACTGACAAACTGACCATTGTTCATCAAGCTTATAGAGGCATGTGAATCAGTGGTGCAGAGACTTCAAACACAGTCATTGTACCTACTATTTCTACAATACTGCCTGCTGCCAATGTTTGGAGCAGAAGTTATGCTTCATCAAACACATTTGAGGTCTTATTTCACGCATGAAAATTATTTTAATTCATTTTAAAATGATAGCAATGAGAATAATAGGTGGCCACCTATCAGTCCTATTGTATTTTGTATTGTGCCTGAGTCGTTGCTCTTGATGAAAGGGAAAACAGGGTGACAGGTGAAGCATCCAAGAGCATTTGTTAGGTGATTTAGGACATAGACAAGGTCGTCTGCTCCAATCTAGGGTAAGGAAACCATTTGTCATGAACTTTAAGAGTGTCTTCCTGACTTCGAATGGTTATTTGGGCTAGCAGACCTGTGAGGACCTCATGGGTTGGGTCAGGTAGCTCAGGTCACTAATGGGTGGCACCAGGACTGATTCCACCGCGGAAGGCTGGGTTACCATGCCGTCGGACTCGGACCTCGACGTGAGAGGGCGGAGCTGTCAGATGGTTTCGGCTCAGACCGCCAGGTGGCTGGTGAGATTAGCTGAATAGCCACTAGAGGGAGTTCAGGCTCTGACCTGACCGTACGGTGGCGCTTGGCAGTCCCTCTGTTGTCAGAAGTTATCGGCTGGGTCAGTAGGTAGCTCGTTAGTGGGAGTGGGATGGAGATGCTATCCAGTTCCTAACCGCACTACCAAAACCCAAGTTGCCATGTATCTGTCGTATCAGAGAGCAGCGCCGTCTGGTCCCGGAGTCCACAGACCACGGCTGGCTCGATTGTATGCACCGGGTGCCGTTAGGGGCGCTGGTGGTCGGTCCGCTACCTGGCAGGGTGGCGCACGAGGCCGCAGTTGCAGTCAGAATCGGTTCAGCTTGGCAGCAGGGCGCGGCTGCAAGCTGTAACGACGCACTACCTACATAGTGCAGACAACGCCAACGGTCGGTCAGGGCCTGGTAGTTTGTATTCCGCTCGAATAAATCGGAGTCTGGGAAACCTTGACGCCTGCCCTGCCGTGATTTTCGGACTGGAGGAGTTATCCCTGCTGTCAGTTGTTTTTGTTGCGGGCATGCTGAGTGTCGTATTCCGCTGTAGCCACGGTTTGAGGCATATTGACATTCAATTTTCACACGTGCATAAGGCAACTTTTTGCTTTATTGTAGTGGTCATATAGTTGGATCGATGGAACACCACGCTTCGCATATTATGCAAACACGCCTTTCATAACACCGAATTACGTTGGAGGCTAATCGGGTATGAGTGCTGTGATTATGCGGCACCTCATTGCAGTGGATTGTTGGCAGCTCTCATCGATCTCGTCCCCAGCTGTGTGCCGCCGTGTGCGGGGGCGGTGGGGCTGCTCGTGCGGCGCTGTCCGGCCAGGAGGGGAGGGGGAGGGTGTCCCCGCTGTCTGCGGGGGTGGCGGGTCTGCTCCTGCGGCTCTGTCCGGCCAGGAGGGGAGGAGGAGGGTGTCCCCGCCGCGATGGCGCTGGTCCGCTCAGCTGGCAGACGGTACCACGGCATTGCATCAGCGCCGGCTGCGTCAGGCGCTCCGCCACGGACGACGCAGTAGATCCGGACGGCGTCACAGCGCCACAGCTGATCGGCCGGCGGAGCGGCGCAGCAGCCGGTCTACGGCTGCTCCTCTATTGTCGGAGCTTAACCCGCTTCCGTGCGAGAGCGGAGCCGTAGCCGGTCTTCTGGCAGGTCCTCCACCGTTGGAGCTTAATCTGCTTCACTTCAGTTCACCTCATTTCACCGGCGAAGCGGCGAAATACATATCACCCAGCCGGTGGATTGGACTTGGAGAATGGACTGATGTTTGATGTCTGCCTTTTGACTCACAGTGCTAACGTTGCCTGGTATTTTCTGGTGCCACGGAACGCAAATGATTTCAAAGAGGACTTCATAGTTCATATTTTTGAAAGAGGCTTTATCTGAAAAAAAGGTTTCTGATGCTTGCGTGACGAAGGAGTGGGAATCAGTACCTATCTGTTATCTAGTCTTCCAGGAATTGCCTTTTACGTCTCAATCGTTCAGCTGATAGCGCAAAGAACTCGTGGAGTAGATTCACATTTGTGACTTTTTCATCACGGGTGAGTAACGCATGATGCCAATTGCCAATCATAAATCCCAATTATGTCGTATTATGCCGTCGTCTGATAGAGTGGGTTTCTTTACACTACCTGACTTCGCGGTACGGTGCTGTTTGCCGTTTCGTCCTTGTTGTTATTTTAATCGTCGTAACTTTTTGTTGTTTTCAATTTCCGTCTGTCCTCTATATATAGGCTCTATATATAGGCTTGGTCCAACCTATCGGAAAAACGCAATGCATTGATTAGTGACTACCGTTGAAAACACAATTTTGAAAATCAATTTTGATGGTGTGTTTATTTGAAAGGAGATGAATGTTCTTGTATGTGGACGAGGTAAATTCCGTTTTTTTTTTTTTGCATACGAACTTTTGGCTGTAAGCACATTCGATTATTTGCACTTAATGTTGTACCTATACAATCTGCATTGACGACCCTTTTCTCCCAGTTAATTTCACTCAGTTTATACATGCTGCCTTAGATGGTTGATTTAGTCCCTGCCTAATAATGACAGAGTTCCAGTTTCTGAGCAAGGATCCGGACGCTGTTATGAGTTGGCCATGCCGATCTTGGCTCCACCCGATCGTTCAATGTCCAGTGCACTATTTTCTACTCGGACAGGAGGCAGTTGTAGCGCCTATCGCTGTGAATTACAGTTGCGCTCCGGCCACCCCGGGCCCCGGCGCAGGTCCGGTAACCTTTCGCCGGCGCGGCACGGGGTGGGGAAGCCCAGGTCGCACCCACGACGCCCCGCCACGGCGCGATAGAGCGGCCGAGACGCCACGATAAGATGACGTGTCTCCGGTGGACGAGAGGCGGCTCCTCACCGTCTGACCGGGCGTGGGCTCCTTACGGCACGCGTAGCCTCCCCCGTCTGATAACAGGCTGACGATTTTGGAGCTGCAACCTGCCTTTCTGGTATTATTCGGAGCTCATGCCTCCACTTATCCAATTCATATCAGAGTATGTATCCGTTCTGAAAGATTACGTCATAATGCACCACGAGGATGATC